AATCACCACCACCGCGACCACTACCACTGTTACTCAAAATACAGTAAAAATTTTTAAAAAAAACAGACATTATAAACCCTATACACACGTTCGAAAAACGAAAATAGAAAAAACAAATAAATAAAATGAAAAAAATACAATTTTAACCGAATTTTTCTTCACATTGAACTAGGCTTAGTCTGGCTTAGATTAACTTATAATGAATTCCAACAATATACATTTGGAGTTTTTGAAATTCAATCCAAACCAGAAATCTTGAATTGAATTCTCCAACTGAAAATGTAAAGAGATTGATTTTGTTGCATTTTTAATTTTGTTCATGAATTGGTAGTTTTTTAACTACTCTTTTAATAAAATTACCAATTTCGCTATTTCATTTTCTTAGTAGTTTTCGTATTTATTGAGAAAAACTGATAAAATGTACGACGCTATTGGATTCCTTTATTTTAAATTTGTACAGCTTATATTTTCTACAAAATAATATTGCTCCACAAGAAAAAAACAGGAGACCTTTTGTGTTGAATTTTTAATCTAGTTGGTAACCTAGAAAGTCGTTTTTTGATTTGGGTCGAACAGGATTTTATCCAGGTATCTCAAAAAACACAGGTGCATACAAATATACATTAGATATTTGGATGTAATATTTTCGACTACTATAATTAATAATAATATTAATGTAACTAAGTTGAGAGAGGAGGGTCTTTGTATCGAAAATCGAAGGAGACGACGACGACGATCCTCTCTCTTAGACAATAATTATTTCAAATATCATCATAAATTATATTAGAGTTGTTTTGAGAATTAATGACAACCTTGACCGAAGGAAGAAAAATAAAGTACGTTTTATAGTCTTTAAAAAGTTAAACAACTATAGAATTTTAATTTTCGTGACAGGTTTTATAACATAACAGAATGTAAACAATTTGCTCATACTAAAATAATGCCTTTTGATCGTTTTTATATTTACTATAATTGTATATTCGTCATGTAGATGCACGACGGGTTATAGTAATCACTGGAATAGTTTAAAATGGCTAGTGCTAAATCCACATGTTGCAAATTTTTATGACGAAAACTTTTAGATTCTGAGTGGTGCGAAGAGTGAATTGATTTAAGAGTGTATTTACATAGATGTTTACTTTTTTGTAGACCCTTTTCTGAAAGGAAATTTACTTGGGGTGGTACTTTAGGGAGGTAATTTTTTAATTTTTTCAAGAGTTTTCTCAACAAACGTGAAAACCGGGGGAAAAAATGAGAAAACTGGGAAAATCGAAGGAACAATCGGAAAATCGGATTAATATTAAACAAATATTATTGAAGAAAATATATAATGCCTATTTAATAAGTTTACCATAATATGACATATATTGATGACAAAGCATCACTATCATACAGATTAAATTCCCTTTTGTATCTTACCTTCCCAACTTCCCACCTACAAAAGTGTTTGCACTCGTCCCCATTATCGTAGGATAGCTTTTTTACATATTATACTCGTACGAATTGTAATAAAACCAAAGATTTTAACTAAAGTTTTATTTTGTTGTCAAAATTATATTCATTTTTCAGTACAAAAACTGCGCACTAATTAATAAATATACTAAAGTATATATAGTCTTACATAAGATATAAAAGATATTTTTTAAAAGTACTCAAGTAGATACTGATACTTAATTTGAAAAATATTCAATGTACGTAGGTATATTAATACTATTAGTAAAAAAACAAACAAATGGACATACTTCACACGATGGGTGGGCCAATACTATAAGTGAGAAGTTGGGGGGATAGAGGGAATATTTAATGTATATCTGTACGCATAGATTAATTATATTGTTAATGAAATTCGATTATGAGCAAAATTCTGTTATATATATTTTGATAGGCCTTAATATTTACGATTTGAATATTATACATTTCGTGTATTTTCCTACGTTTTTTCATTTATAATGTAAACTCCTAGGAAAACCAAAAATTGAGTATTATCAAACAATTTCTAACTGAAATCACACATTAATTTCTTAATTTTTAAATTCGGAACGTAGCGAATATTCTATTGGTTTTACCATGATGTGTATTTTTTAAAATTGCTTTTTTGTCTGTAAACAAAAATATTGCTCCAATGTTTTTGTTGTTATTTGATTAAATATTATTGTAGAGACCAGTTGTTTTCAAAAAATTTATATTGGCCTATTTGTATACGTGGTAAAATGTTCAAAACATTTTAACTGTTTTTAAGCTGTATAAAATGTAAAGGTATTTGATATATTTTCGTATTTTTATTTAGTAGGTATTTGTTATCAAAATTATTTAGACTGTGAAATGTTAAATGAAATATAAGTGAAATGTTTGAACATAAGGCACATTATTAGTTATACTTAGTGTCTGAAAAATAAATTTGAGTTTAATGTATTATATTTTTTATTCCATAAGAGTTTTAAAATCAAATTTTAACAAAAATCGTAAAAATTACGGTGTTTCAAATTATGTCTTACCGAACTTCGCTCCAAATTGTTTTTCGTTAGCACTGGTCTATCGTTGCGTACAGATATAAATTAAATAACTTTACTAGTTTACTATTTTACTACTTTTCGAACTTTTCCCTGAAATAGTTTCTAAAATCGTCCTCAGTATCGGAATTTTTTTTTTATTATTAGGAACACGTTATTATTATTATACCTTCAAGCGGCAGTCAACAGGTTTTATATGCTCTCAAACGAGTTGAACTAACCTTAAATAATAATTATAGGATAGGGCAATTAAGTATTACTTACAATAAGTAATATGTGTGTCAGCTTAATTGACCTAGGTATTCGTATTATGTGAAACCGACGATCCGTCGTCAATTTTCAGGTAAAAAATCTAAAGGAACGTGACCCTGAAATACAATGTTGCCATGATGTTAAACCGTACTCGAGGTTGGCTATTTAGTAACTAAGAATTTATACCAGTGATTTCTAACTTCTGTTATATTATGCCCTCTTTGTAACTTTTCTAAATCCCTCGCCCCCTTCTTCTTTTAACAAATATAATAGGCAAAAAAAAAAAATGTGATTCCCGGTCATTATTAAATTTCTCTACGTTGTAAAATACAAATAATTTAATAAATACAAATTTTACTTCATGATACGAGCTCGCGCCTCCCCAGAAATGTGTACATACCCCCCTAGGGGAGAGGGTGCCTCTGTTGAGAAAAGTAAACATAATATTGGCGGTAAACTTTTACTTACAACTTGTATATGTTGTAGGTCGGAACTTTTAAACGTCGTGTAGTACCTCTATTTAAGAAAAAAAAAAATGTTCACTATTAACTACTAATTATTATTACAAAATCTCATTTCGAGCAAAATTAAACATTTTCCTGCACTTCTTATTGTCTTGTCCGATATTCATATCTCTATATTACCTTATGTGTATATTCTCTATATTGTCTTTATTACTAATATTATATTCTTTTACACATTATATTCCTTTTTTTTTTCAATTATTAATTTCTATACATAACAGACTCTTTATTTATGCCCTGTTAGCGATGTAATTTTGGAGAAAAATATTTTCCGTATATTCGTTATTTATTGAAGGTACTTAATATATTATGTATGACGAAATAAACTCAATGTACTATGATTAAGTATTATATTTTTTTTTTTTTCGAGAAGTACAAAAACTCGTTTTACATACTTGAGGCACTACATACTGTTTCGAGTCACAGTATATTATACCCGTTTTTAGTAGTTTTCAGTAGGTATATTTATGATAAATTTTTAAAACTCGATATAATATAATATAATAGTTTTAAAACAATTTTATCATTATAATTATTTTTTTTTTTTTTAAGACGCTTTATGAATTTTATAATTGTTGAAATTATGTAAAAAAAAAAATAAAAAATATTTACTCGTTAATGATCGATGTATTTAAAAATAAATTTAATTTTCGAAACACAATACTTAGTCGTGCATACATACCAAATAAAAGTTATGAATATTGTGCGGATACATAAATTTAATAATTCAAACTATAATCATATGATAGGTATATTAAACACTGTAGAATATTCGAATTGGAAAAATAAAAGAAGAGAGACTTAAAAACAAATTAGCCTCCCTTGCAATAAATGAACTCGTGGCTGTACCCCTCGCATCACCCTTATACATATTTTTAAACATTTATCACTGAATTACTATTTATGAGGATCGTAAACTTTAATTTTCGTTTCTCCCGTTATGAAAAATAAAATAAAACGTATATAATACTTTAATAATATTGTCTAGAAATTATTTAGTGTTGGTATCAATTCGTCAGTTACTAATAAATTACCACAATATATAATTCCAATAATGCAATCCCAACTTTTCTAACTTTTATTAACATACAAGCCACCAGGTACATAATATGATAATATTAATATAAAATATAAAACAGTGGCTTGGTTAGTGGCTGTGTATTAAAAGGAAAACAATCGATCACTTGTCATTTTTCGATTGGAGCAATATTTTCTTTTAGAAAAAGTGCTACACTGTGTACATCAGAGCACGATTTCTAGTAGAAAAGTTATTTAGAGATAGAATAAAAATAAAAGCTCATATCATAGTAAAACCAATATATCCCTCTTTCCTTTCCGAATCTTCGAAAGGAATGTTTAAAAGTCGAGGAACGGAAACGAGTTCCTTTTTTGTAATAGAAAAAGTGGGTGGGACGCATGATATTTGTTATAATAGTGTCACTAGTTTCAAGATAAGCTAATAAAGGCGGTGACGAAGCAGAATCAAAGGATAGAATAATATATTACTCTATAGGAAGATTTAGTGAAACAATAAGGACATGGAATTACTCGATTGAGGTTCAAATTGGAAAGAAAATTTGATGGATGTAGTGGCAGTAATCGAATGTGTTGGATACTTGGATGTGAAACGGGATGATGTTTAGAGGCCTGAAAATGTGAAAACCAGATAATAATAATAATAAGATATTATGAAATAACAAATTTTTTTTATAAATTATAGGTATTAAATTTCAGTTTTATTTGGTTAAAAAAATCTGGTATATGAGCAGCAATTACACATAATAATATAGGTGAAAGTGTGTAATCGCTAACAATAATAATTATCTAAACATTTTAAAAATCATTATAATATAGGTATCTAATAATAATAATGCTATCACAACAAAAAATTATATATATATAAATAAATAAATTACATACATACAAATATATATTAAATATATCTATGCATGTGTGTGTGTGTGTGTATGTGTGAGTGTGTGTTTAAGAATATAATAAATAAATACATACATAATTTAAAAAAAAAATTCCCTAAACAAAAATAACTGTTATTATTATAAAGACACAATAGAATAATATTATCAAAATATGAACGACTAGTAATATGAATTTTAACAGAACGCAGGATGATCTCTATATCAGTTCTATTCTATTATATTATTATGCGAATACGTATCTAAATGTGTGATAGTAAGTTAGTAATAATAATAATAACAATAGAATAATTCTCAATAAAATATTATTAAGTTTGTTTGTTTAAAATTTATTCTATAATATATTATAATTATACAATACAATATGATTCGTTTGCTAAGAAAAGGGGGGAGGGGGGTGAAACAATAAAGAGTAATAGCATTGATTTCATAAGATATTATAGCATTATACATTATAAAAATTATACATAAACGAAGTATAAGTAAAAAAAAAAAAAATACCTAACAAATATAACATAGATACCTATATAATATAAAAACACCCTTCACCTGCGTTCTTAAACATCGGTAAGAATATAATATTATAATATAATAAATATTGAGAAAATTATCGACATCCAACATAATTGTAAATTCGGTCACCACGATTGCTTAATATTATTTTAATAATCACGATTTTGAGGCGGAGAAAAACTCCAAAAATCACCGCACTATATGACTACGGGTCATTATACAGGTAAGAAATCATTGCAATCGTAACAAGCGATAAAATAATTAAAATGTGCGCGTATGACAAGAAAAAAAAAAAAAAAACTAAAACTTAATTATAAAACAAGAATCCGGTATTGTAATTATTGGGGCGATACCTGACCCTGCAGGGGCCGTTTCAAATGCTCTTTTGTTTCGTTTCTATAACAAGAGAAGGGGTATATTCAAGTAGTAGGTATATTTATAATAAATTAAATAAAAATCGTTATATTTTCGAGGATAGAGCTATATTAATATTTAATTTATTCATATATCATATATCGTCGACCGATGAGTTGACCAGATGTGGAGATCACAGAATTTTAATATTGTACGATATTGTAGTATTATAAAAACAAAAAAAAAAAAAAAAAAAACAAAATTTAATAATAATACCTAATATACACAACTATAACGAACAAAACGATATTATAATATTTCTGAGATAATATCGTACAAGTGTGTGCGCGCGCAATATTAATAATATTTATATTATTATACGATTATAATAATATTACAGTAGCATTGATTATAATATTATTAGGTACATTGTACAGAGAGCCCGTGCCCACGTTAACATTCGACTATCGCCCGTGGGACGCAGCGCCAAAGTGGTTTCCATTGATTCTCGCGCGAACGACTCTGACGCTCCATTTAGCGGCGGCTGCATCGCAATGATAGCAGCCAAATATCTCCGAAATACCATCATGGGTTGTCCGTCTGTACTGTATAATCAATGGTAATGATAGCGGTTGACGGGCACTCGGCGGTTACTACTTACGCGGTATTTTTTTTCACATAAGTATAAAGTACGATCGTCCGGTTGTGTCGTCTATTATAATATAATAATAATAATAATAATAATGAAATATTCTACGCATAAGCCTTTAACGCGTACTGTTTATGTAATATTAGGTATAATAATAATAATATGTAATTGATTATTGTCGTATCCATCGTCGGCAGATATCTTACGGCGACCACGAAGTTATCCTCCGGGACAGTGAGCTCTGTTCGATACGACTGAGGATTTTGTTGATCACTTTTAACCGGACTAGTATGCTTGTGTTGGCTAAAAGGTCGGTCTGAGGACAGAAACAAAAAAACAAAATAAATAAATAAATAAATAAATAAATAAATACCTAATGCAAACGAAAACAAGAACACCATAATTAATGATATTGCGCGAGATACTATTGGGCAGCGTGTACCGAACTACCGACAGCGGCGACGTTTTGACGAGATAAAAAGTATAATATATTACGGTACGGACATTGTTTTTTTTTTATTTTTTACACTACCGGTATCGCTCGTGCCGTAGTTTAGTACCCACACGATTTGCCGGAAATACAGGACGGTTCGTAAAAAAAAAAATTGGTACGGATACGGATTTTTTTTTTTCGTACGACCCGAATAGGACCGAGATCAGATGGAGCGAATAAGGGTATGGTTTTCTCATTACAAAAAATACATTCCTACTTAGATTTTATAAATATAAATGCCATCTTTCGAAATTATATAATATCAATTCCGTTCAAAACATAGTGAGAAGGTAGGTTAGGTACAATATTGATCGGTTTCGGAACAATAAGCAGTTATCTAAATATTTTTAAATTTTCAAAATAATTACTGACGACTGACGCTTAAAATCAACAAATAATAATTTTAATGATAGCAGCGTCTCGTTTTCTATTTTCTAATGTATTCTTCTCTCCGTGTATTAACACCCCGTCCCAACGTAAGTTTCACAATATTTATCACGCCACACGAGCCACCACCGGGTCCGATAGTCCCGAGAATTTCAAATTGTACACCGTTTACTGCAAAATATATTATAAATAATATGAGATGGAGTCTATGAATAATATTTGCACGATCACCACGACGTATAGAAAAAAACAAATAAAAACACGGGGACGAACGGATTCGAGCGATGAAACCGAATCGTGGTCGGGGCTAGAGATACGGCGGCAAAGAAAAAAAAGGACAAAACTAAAAAGAACATAAAAATAATGATAAACAAAATAGCTGCTATACAGATGGATGCAACCAATTATTTCTAAAACATATGTTTTAGAAATATATGTGTGCATTATATGATACACGCGAGTACAAATCTCTACGGGTTTTCTCGTTGCACCATCATCGCAGAATATAATAAATATAGACGACGGACGACGTAAGTACTAAACAATTTTCGGCTGTAGGTGTACTTATGTAAAATTAAGGACCCCGTCGAGCAACGAATCGGCCTCGGGTCACCGCTATACTAATTGCGTAAATCCGCTCTGGCTAAGTAACGGTTTTTATATAATAATAATATATTTTTATAGCGTGTAATTATTATTATACGAGTAGGCAGGTGTATGCAGGTGTCTGGGCGATATTTTGCACAATGTGCCCGTTTGGCTTTTTCCTTCTCGTCTAAACCGGCAGCTGACTTGGGACTTTGGGACTGACCGTGCGGCGTGAACGCCGTCACGAGTGGAACACGCGTTTGTACCGCGTTACGTAATAATGAATAATAACAACAAAAAAAACATTTTTTTTTTTTTTTTACATATCTACCCGTCCAACTGCGCTTGACTATTATTTGTACTACATAATGCATCGATAATAATCACTTTTAAAAAGCGATAAAAATCGAAATTTTTATCGGGGGCTGCTTTAATAGGAGCTGCGGACAGCTGGCTGTTACACATTGCCATACACGTTGCAGGGCAAATGTTTGTTTTTTTTTAAACTTGATCGGGCTACCTCCCGAATTTGTTAGGCGTACAAAAATATATTGTGTATGATTTCGTAATAATCGGTCAACCCAATATGAAAAAATATGCCTCAAAAGGTTAAAGTTCAGAAAAGGATGCTCGCCGATATTATCGATTAAATTTCTTATAAAAATCGTTTTTCATTACACAACCCATTCACCTAACAAAAAGTTTTTAATCCTCGTTTTGCTATATTGAGAGCAAATGATCATTCGAGGAAATTCAATTCAAAACATACTTAATTGTTGACGTTTTAACCCCGCTGATGCACGTTTTAGGATTTTTTAGGATTGACAAAAACAATTTCTCCATCAATACCATAAGGACCACCGTAATATACATATTAAAATTATTATTATCATCCTAAAGCGAGACACGCAACCCGAAATATTGTAACCCCGATAACCTAAACAATAATCCAGCCTCGTGTTCTCGGGGACGGGGATATTTATAGGAATGCGGCCTACTAAACGAGTATTTGTACCTATAAAATATTATGTACATAAAGTTTTACCTATACCGTCCGTAAATTGTAATAATTGGACCTTATTAGGCAACAAATTATCTATAGATACACATTATTATATCATCGTCGTAAATTAACGGCGTGTGGCCGATAATATTACATAATAAAAAATAAAAAACGCGCCCGAGTTTAGGTAACAATGAAACCGTATACGCGTATAATATTTTATTGAAAATCGCTGTTAATTTTTTTTTTTTTTTTCGAAATATTAAATTATTGCGTATTACTACGCTGATAGATGGCCGTAAAACTATACGGCCTATTCAGCGTTTACGAGTGGTTACGATGAAAACGGTAAAAAAATTAATGTTTCATCAATAAAAAAACTCCGACGAGCGACGTTTGCCGTCTATATCCATACACGATATACAGCAATAGTGTGATGCAGTTCACGTTAAACAATTGAACGAAAATGACTATAAAATCGGTTTAAAACACCAATTTTTAAAGTTGATGTTCGTGTATTTTTTTTTTCTTTTTACTTAATTGATTATTAATTAACTATTTATACAGTTGTGAGATTATTTGAAGAAAAAAAGAAAAATGTCGTCCTTGAATTGCCTTCGTTTACAAATTGTATAAAATAATATAGGCGTTTTATCTCTGAAACTGATTTCAAATGCCTTTTCGTTTGTTTCGCGTGAACACGTTTTCGCTGTGACGTTTCACCCGTTTAATTAAAACCGAAGAAATAAACGGTCTCGTGGGGTTTTACACATTGTTAACAGGTTATAATAACAAATTTTTGATATTTACAATAAACAAGCTTTAATAATTCTCAGCAAATAATTCAATCTGCTTAAAATTTAAAATTTTTATATTAAGGGGCGGTACGGTTTGTTTTTTTTTTTTGGTTAAAACAAAAATATAATTAGAACAATTTTAAAAATTGATCATATTCAAACACGAATTATAGCGTTCAAAATTATAATTTTCAAAATCCAAGTCCAATGCGCCTCGTAAGTAGTTTTCCTCTATACAACAAATAAAAATTAATTGAAATCGATTCACACGAGTAAAACATGTTTTCGAACGATATAAGTATGGATACACGTGAACTGTAGTCATTGAAATTACGACGAATATATTCTAAAACCACTTAAAATATCCATCTCAAATAAAAAATAATACGCGTAATTTGGTGTAACAATACAATTTTAGATTTTGAGCGGAGTGAGGAATGTATTGATTTTTCAATGATGTTTATTTTAGTTTTTTTTTTCTGTAAACAGATTGGTTACCAAAAATTTTGCTCCAATTTTAAAGTATATCTACCACTTTTTCTGAAAGGAAATTTTATTCTTGTTGGTGTATTACATTGATATTTTTTTTGAATTTCCTAGGGGCTTTCATAATAAATGGAAAAACATAGGAAAAATGGGAAAATGTACAAAATATATTATTTTCAAATCGTAAATATTAAGGCCTTTCAAAATATGTATAACCGAACTCCACTCAGAATCATTTTTCGTTATCAATGATTAATATCCATTAAATTTCCCCTCTAACCTTCTCAACTATAACAGTGGCCCACAGTTTTTTTTATTTATATTCTTTTTTGTGCGAAAAATAGAATTATTATTATTAACATACGNTATCGTTGACCTGCAATTCGCATCATCGAGTTATTTAATATATACATTTTTTTTCGTCTGTCCAGTGAATAAACCATTACAATTCGACGACGTTAAAACAAAAAAAAAAAAATCGGCTTGAATACAATTTGATTGGTAAATAAGTGAATCGCATATTATACGAAAACGTGCTGGTACTGCAGAGCTTGATAAAATAGCACGATTTTTAGGTGTTTTTTTTTATCGAAGATTAGTGATGTTTACAAAATATGTATGTCGATCGTTAATCGGTAAAAACACTGGCGTCTGCTAAACGATAACAGTTTTGGGGTATAACATTTATGAAACGTTGACAATACTGTTTGGGGTTATTAGTATACGCAATCAAAATGAGTTTGACAATCCGAAAACCGAGACCAGCAGAATATCTTATAGATAAATAACACGGGAAATCGCAACGGAGTACGGATAATAATGATAATAATAACATCGTCAATGGTTTGAGTTCCGAAATATCTATATTGCATTGATAATTTACCACCGGTAACAACGGTACAGAAACGAATGAAAAACGTCGGGAAACGTTTACTTTTGTGAAAAACCGACGAGTGTAAGTAGTGTCTATAGATGTGAACGTGCAGCGTAAAATATACGCGATGACTAGCGTTGTGTGATTCGTGCGGTGTCCGCAATAAGCGCTCGTTGCCGACGCGTCAAGCAACAGCTCTTGCGTCACATTCCGGTCTTCGGATACCAGGGTCCCATGGTCGACTAAGCTAACGTACGGGCGGTCTTCGCCGGCGTCCGTCGGCCAGTGCGTTGCCGGCCGGTCGAACGGCCGCGGTACCGGGGTCGCATGGCGGTGGCACGCGACCCGACGGTAGTGCCTTACCGTTGCCGCGTCTTCGACGTCCGCGGTACCAGGGGCGCCGGAGCGAGTAGCGCGCCTTCTACGCGGTCGCGCGGCCGCTTTATTCGAGTATTTCAATTTTCGAAACGCGGGGGTGAAAACTACCGACGCGCCACGGCGTTCGAAGAGCGAAACAACGCGATTCGATATTATACTGCGGACGGTACCACAAAGTATCGGAAAAAATAATATGATAAGAATAACGTAAACAACAATTGCCGTGTCTAAAATAAAAATGCTAGTAGCGCGTCGCTACGTAAAAACACCACGCCGACTCCCAAGTCTATCGAAATCGTATAGATTTTTTAGATTTTGAGTGTAGCGAAGAACGTACTGGTTTTAATAAGACGTTTATTTTTTTTATTTTTTTATCCCGTGTACAAAAGTTCTACCAGAAATCTTGCTCAGATATATACGCGCGGCACCATTTCTGAAAGGGAATGTTTTCTATTTAGACTATTTAGACAATAGTACTTTTGGGAGGTCAGTTTTTGATTTTCCAATCGGTTTTCATAATATCTGGGAAAAACCCGGGTAAAACGTAAGAAAAATGGGAAATTTACGAAAAAAAATGTTTTGCATTTTTTTTTTTATCTAAACAAGGAAAAAACTAATGTATTCTGGATGTACCTAGAAACTTGAGCAATCGCTCCCTCGGACTATTTTAATCGTGAAATACCCCTCGATTTGTAGTGTAAACTTTTACACTAGAAATCTTGCTCCCATGTATCAGGTGTAGCTTATTTTCTGAAAGAAAATTTATCTACATGGTAATTTAGGAAGATCATTTGTCGATTTTCTCAGGAGTTTTCTCACATTTGAAAAACCGAAAAAAAAAAAAAACGGAAAATTATAAGAAATGTAGGTATTACTTAAAATATATTATGGCCTTCTTTTTTTCTGTACACAACTTTTCTACCAACAATTTTGGTCCAAATTGATAGCAATGTTTCTAAATTTCACTACGGAGGTACTTTAGAAAGGTCATTTTTCGATCTTCCCAACAAATATGAAAAACCGGGAATAACGTAGGGAAATCGGGAACAATTTAATGTTGGGTACAACATTAAATAAATATTATTAAAAAAAATATTTAAAGCCTATTTAATTATTTTACTATAAAATGACATATATATTGTTGACAACAAGCATTATTATCAACTGAATTCCGCTCAGAATCGTTTTTTCGTAAGCAATGGTTAATCGTTGCTTACAGGTATACATTAAATTATCTTTAACAGTTGCTGCACCCGTCCCGATTATCCTAGGATGTCTTTTTTTTTTACGTTATTAAATGTTGACAATTTATATAGATTTCTAGCAGATTAGATACCGAACATTTCGTTTTCCGTGATTTTCGAATTCCGATAACTAAACTATTTCGTCACTTTTTATTTAATTTTTTTCCCAATAATATTGTTTATAGAATTTTATTTTCCAAAATACTAGTATTCGAGTTTTCCATTTTATATTTCTTTAACTACCATCTATGTAAAAATATGTCTCATTACTGTATATTATACTTACATGAGCGGTTTGCCCGAGTGGTAACAACGACAGCAGCCACCAAGTCCAGGCCGGACCGTCGTCCAGCTGTTCCCAGTTTTCTTCCGCGGCCGGTGGGAAACCCACCGTTCTTAGAATTTCCGACTTGATCTCCGGCCGAAAACCGTTGAACCACGTCATGCCCCGTTGTAAGACCTCGTTGTGCAGTTTGTTTAAATCTGCGCGAAACCATAAAAAAAAAAAAAAAAAAAAACCAATGGATTAAACACAAGAAGTTCAAAAATGCATAGCGATATTACATATTGATGATAAAATATGCATGATAACAAAACTGACCAGGTAATTTGTCAGCGGAGAAATGCTGGTCTCGAATGTATTGCACTTTGGCCATGTCGTACCCATCGTGTTCTTTTCTAACCAGCACTCTGAACCTCTGGGTGCCAACAGTTGACAAAAGTGAGCAGCCGTTACCCATTAGGATTCGATCTTTGATTTCCAGTACGGTACCGTACTCGGCAAACCTGTTACAGAAAAGAAACGGATTAAACTTTTGAAATAATATTTTATATATAATCCAAATTTACGAGGAAAAAGGAGAGGCAGGATCTCTAAGTCTAATTTTCCAATTACTCGTAGATTTCCCGAACTCTGTTCATACATATAAGTAAACAACGAGTCTAAAACATTGGGAAACACTGTATACAATAAATTTAGATTTTTAATATAATTGATCATCCAACAACTATGTTTCAAAAATAATTAAAGATTACTGCAGTGTAGTCAATTTTCCGTCTAAACATTTTAGCGAGCCGTATGTAGTCACATCGATACCCCAAGTAACCACTACATCCTTTCATCAATCCTATCATACGCATTTTGTATTTATATATTTACACGGATCATTTCTAAGTCCTTTTCCATAACGTCCTTGCATATTTTTCAGGACTTCCCAAGAGGTATTTGCCTATAATAATAACTCTTCCTTCTGTTACTAACTCGTCTGATTGTTTTTACGAATACTCTATAGCCTCTGTTATACGATGGACGTTGGGTCTCCCATAAATATTTTGTAAATCGACATTAATCTTAATCTTGTACTTTCGTATACTCTAGTTTCCATAGTAGGTATATAATGAACCAAATATTCGGATATAATATTATTATATTATAGCGCATGTGTAAATAATGTAAATTATTATAGGTATACGAACCGCATAGGGAAACGCTGTTGGCTGATCATGGCGAACTTTCGAGTACCCGATTCTATGCACCGTCTGATCATCAGCCTGTACTGGGGTTCGAACACGTGCAATGGACATGAAACTGAAGGAAATGCGTTGGTACACACGAACACAGGTAAGTACGAACTGTCGTATTCCATTTCCGGACTCCAGTTGAGCGACGGCGAGAGACTGCAGTTTTGTGCGCTGCCATACATCGACAAGAGCAGCTCATCGACGAATTTCACAGTATGTTTCTTGCTCAACGCTAAACACTGTAATAAAAAAAAAAAAAATTATTTATAAAATGCGCGGCGTCATGGAATTTTTTTACTGTCCGAGAGAAATTTCAAAACCCTATAGGTTAACCTAACCTAACCGTCCCCCTGTAGTTGGTGATCGGGAGACTTACGTGGGTTATATTATAATTATATAACATTATTATATGAACGATAAAACGTTCATATTAAAAAAATTCCTAAAAAAATAACTATTTGACCCTCATTCATTTTCATGTTCGGGTTCAAATCGGTAAAGTTTTATGCTACTTTACCGATTTGAAGTTTTATGCTACTTAGCGGTTTTTATAGTAATATTTTCACTGGATGTATCATGTTTACGGGTTAAATACTATCAACTCTCGGGGAAATCCTATACTAAGATGGGTTTTACGATAAAAAGTACAAACAAACAGTCGTTGTTCGTATAATTTTATGAATTGTATAAAGTACCTATTTAATTGTTCGATATGCGGCGTATATGGTATATTATTATAGGGGCTAGGATTTATATGCAATAAAAAATGATGAAATATGCATTATATTTATTATATTCAGTTTATTATGCAAAAATATGCAGAAAAAAAACACCACTATTTATCTCAACATGAGCTAATTCGTGGACACAACTGACAAAAACAGTAATCAAAGTTGCAAAAAAATAAAACATACCAACGCATATATGTTATATAAATCCAAGCCCTAATTATTAGAATAATACTTACGGGTGGCAACGAAGTCAAACACAGAGGACAGTGGAAACTGTAATCGAAATTGTGTTCCAGACAGTCCATGCAGTAGGTGTGCCCGCACAGTGTCGTCACCGGATTCCTGAAAATTCCACAGCATAAAACGCAATTGAAATCCGATTCCTCCAACAATAACTTGTCGACCTTTAGCACCGCTGCCGCCACCGCCGTATTGTTTTGGACGCTCGGGGTATAATCTAAAAACAATATTACGAAAACCGTGTTTAATGCGGCGGTTCAGTATAACATGTATTTCATCGATATTCATCATTGAGCATAATTTATTATTATTATTTTTTTTTTTTTTGTTATGCGATTGCGTGACCACCAAAATATTATCTAAACGCTGTGCACGGTCTTTGTGTGTTTCGCGCGTAATCGCGTAGTTCATGTAGCTGCTCGTGAAAATAATAAATATTATTCCATAACGCTTATGAAATAATTGTATTATATCTACTTATTAATATTACTTAACGACGAGTGCCGCAAGTATATTATTGCAATATTTAATCCTATAATATCAATATTAAATAATCCAAAAGAATGAGGTAATATTTTACATATTATTATAACAAATTGCCAAAACAATAAATAAATAAAAAAAAAAAAAAACTGTTATTATTGATTGATGTACTATTTAAAACGCACGTTCTATTGATTAATTTTTTTTTTTAAAATATCGTTCGATCCGAACGAAATATTAAAACATTATTATAAATTATATTTCTATATACTTTTATGAAAATAAAAAACGAGTATATACATAAATTATGTTAGTAATTATGTTTTGTAAAGAATTCAAAACCGAGGAATATTTATTATTTTCTCTTTCGTTTAAAATTAATTCGGCGAGTTTATTATCATGTGCACAGGTCCGTGAGTAGGAACCTAAAAACTTTAAAAAACAAAAATAATAACACTAATATAATACAGCGAATAAACTCACGTTTGACGTGCATTATTTCCACTAGAATGTGTCGAATCAATTCGGTTATTGTGTTAATTTCGCAAAGTGATTTTTTGAAAAATGTGCTTTCATGCAGTACAACGTTGGATTCCTGTTTGAAAAAAAAAAAATAATACAATACAAGTTTCGAAATAAAATTAATATATAGGCCATAGGTATTATAATACCTAGGACATAGGTATTATAATACCTACATCGTTATACTTACGTTTAATAGGGTATCAGTGGTGTTTTCGAACGCGTACGTCCCGTTAATGATTGTGTTCAAACAAGACTGCAGATAATCGTGAGCGATCGGATTCCAATTATCCAGGTCCAGAACTTCAGTATCCTTGCTGTAAACGATCAGTAATCTCTGGAGCGCCTCATTGATTTGCGATTTGAGTTTTTGAAGGTTTTCGCCGAGCACCGCGCTTAGCGAGAATTCCAACAACGCCTCATGATATTTTCCCAAAGACAGCAGTGTCATCCCGCGCGTAAAATGTCCCTAGAAACAAGATAAAACATTGAAAAAATACATTAATCGAGAACATAATCATTACGGAATTTGCAACGTTAAAAATTGAAATGTTATATTGACGTACTTTTGACCATTTCGGTTTCATTTGTACGACGCGGTCCGCATCTGACTGAGCGTTTATATTGAGTCCGAGTTTTAGCAATACTCTCGATCTGATGTTTAACAAAGCGTAATTTTCGCCACCTATAAAAAAAAAAAAACCCTAATAAAATAGGGGTTTTGGACATCGGAATATAATGTTAGGTATAGGTACGTGAGTAAAATATGGGAAAACGACAAAATATAATAAACATTCCAAGCCATCATCATTGTGTATTGTCCATTAGTGATTTATGAATCAACACTATATTTATGGCGCCTATTTTTGTCATTAAGGAAAATATGTGAACAATTTAAATGAGTAAGCAAGTATTTAAAATAATTTCGTCCGAGGTTATAATAAACATTTACGTAGTAACGATTTTCTTTTAAAAAAATGTATAAATGTATAAATCGGTAGTTTGTCGATAAAATTTAAATAATTAAATCTTCTTTATATTATTATGATGTTTTCAACGTTTATTTTTAAACATATAACCGGTGGATTTTTAGTATATTTTTTTTCCAATGAAAATTTTACAGAAAATTCACGAAACGAAACCTACGCTTGCAATCATACTACGGGTTTTAAATTGAATTTATTTAAATATTACATAACGTATGAATACATTATATTACAATTTAATTTATACTCGTTCGTTTGTTCGGTATTTTTTTTATTTTTATGTAATGCGAATTAGTTTGAACAAATTCAAATCGCTAAGATTTCATAATATTTATCGGTTAAGACGCGATAGTAAAATTTCGTTACTGTCATGCATCAAATGAATGCGCTTTGTTTTCAGATGCTTGAACAAAATACTAGATCACCAGCTGTAGCCCATGAACGCAATTTTAACAGCAATTATAAGCTATTTTTCCCTTTACATGGAAACACGCTATAATAGTTCCTATTCACAAACTCGAAAATCCAGCCAATTCTCCTACTAGTTACAGACCAATGAGCTTACTACCAACACTATCCAAATTGTATAAAAGAATATTATTGGAGAGGATAAAACTCTACCTTTATGTTACTCCAAAACATCAATTTGGATTCAAAACACTATACTTCACATGCCACCAAATCCAGCGTATATCTGAAATAATTGTGCACGACTTCGAAAAAAAACAATATACCACAGCAGCCTTCTTAGACCTAACGCAAGCCTTTCATAATGTCTGGCACCGTAAGCTTAAACAAAAACTAAAAATAATTAATCTCCCTGCATACCTACTAAAAGCTATCACATTTTTCATATCAAACAGATCTTTCGAAGTCAAAGTTGAAACAGACCTCTCACAACTACATCATATCAATGCTGGAGTCCCCCAAGGATCGGTCTTGGGACCAACCTTGTTTAATATCTATTGTTATGATATCCCTACTCCTTTCAACTCCCAACTAGCAATGTTTGCTGACGATATTACAATTCTCCCGTAAGATAACTCTATAGATTCATCAATCCAAAAATTACAATCCTCATTAAATGAAATAACAACTTGGTTTAAAAAAGGGAAGATGAACCTAAACCAAACTAAATGTGACATTAAAATATTCGTCCTAAAAAGATATACCCTAGCAACCTTAAAAAAATTTACATAAATAACCAGGTCACTCAATGGAACCAAAAAGATAACTCAGTCAAATATCTAGGTGTCTATCTCAATAAAAAACTCACTCGGAACATTCATATAAATTCGTTCGGGGCTATACAAGGATGATAATTCTTTACCATTTAGTCAACTATAAATCAATACTACAAATTAAATCATTACTACTTCTATATACCTCAATTCTCAGATCTCTTGTAATGTATACCTGCCCCGTTTGGGCGATGCACCCACTAAAATAAAAAAATACAAATTTTCCGAAATAAATTCTTTTGGATATGCCTAAAAGCACCATGGTTCATGAGAAATCGCCACAAGGACACCGGAATCCCCCTAATAAATACCTGGATTAAAATGCAATTCAAAAATTTCCCCGCCAAACTTCAAGACTGAGATGGAGCCCGCCATTATCAATTAGGATAAAAAAACCCGAAATAGACGACTGCGACCTCAACTGCCCCAAGACATCCTTCTAACAAATACCGAAAAACTCTCATCAGAAGACGATGAATAAATTATTTTTAACATTATAACCATATAAATTTAAATTTAAAGATTAACTTATTGTAATTCTTATTGCAATAGTTCACAATATATTGAAACAGTTTAAAGTATTAAGTAAAAAAACTATTTTTCTTCTACCATTCATAATAATAATTTACTATTTGAACGACAAACTTATATTATATATTATTTAATTTTACTTGTCCATTTCGTACAGAATATCATAATATTTAATAAATTGTGTGTATTATAATTACAATATAAGGACATATTTTATTTTATTGTGACAATCTATAAATCTATAAATAAATAACTTATTATTACATTTCTATGATTTTATACCTTTAAACTGGCTCGATTATATTACGTAAAACATTTTACATAGGTACATCGATCGATTCTTTAGTCGAAAAAATAGGTACCCAATTTACACAAAATAAATAAATAAGATATAAACGGATAATAAAATCAAACAAACAAGAGCACGCAGTAAATAATACCTGTGCAGCGAACGTTCTATACAATATAAATTCCCTGTTCTTATGTATTTTATTTTTTATTTTTAATATTTTAAACATTTGGTTGGTGAAAATGGTATAATAAAATTAAAAACGAAATATTATCAATGAAATATATATATCGTTATGTAGCGGTAGCCATATCGTAGCAACAAATCAAATCGACAGAACGGACACAACCTAAAATTAATAAGTTATTCGATATCTGTAGTAACGGGAAGGGAATACTATTCAACAAAAATTATAAAAATCCGGATGTACTTTGTACATCACCATTGTAGTCTATATGTTTTCTGCTCGGCCGAAACAATTGTATTCACATAAAACCTAACCTCGGCATTTTAAACGACTACGTAGCTAAAAAATCTCCGATATATATTTCGATCATTTAACCTACAGCATGTTTAGAAAGGTTAATATAAAAATTATGTGTCAACGTCAGGTCTCTATGGTTATTTTTAACAGAATTACAACAAAACATTGAAATCGAAAATAACGAAAACCGTTACTGTGTATATTTTCCCATTTTTTCCTACGTCTCCCCTCCCTCTCAATTACTAAGAAAATTTAAAAACGACTTGTTCGACGTACCGACTACAGTAGAAGGCGACATTTTCTTTCAGAAAATATGCTACACTAGTAAATCGAATCAAGATTTAATCAAGATAATGGACTCAAAAAAAAAAAAAAAAAAAAAAACACATTATCGTAAACCTAATGCAATCCTAACCGCGCTCGAAATGTAAAAGTCCACTAAGAAAACGGTATTGCAGCGGTTACACCAATACTTAACGTGAATGTAATAACAATTCGATAATATTATTTTCAATCACTTAATCACGCGATAGTCGATAGTAATACTGTTTAAATCACCTATGTACATTTATTACAACGTATCATAATATATACAGGGTGTACAGGGCTATTTGACATGTAACTATAATTAAAAAAAGACGTCCTAGGATATTGGGGTCAAGTGTAGCCACTGTTATAAGTAATTTAATACTGTTCACCTGTAAGCAACGCTAAACCATTACTAACGAAAAAACGATTCTAAGAGGATTTCAGCTGCTTTGTCAACAATGTATATGTCATAGCTACAACAAAATAAAATGATAAGAGTTTGGCTAGGTAAAAAAAATTGGTAGGGTCAACAGTACTAAACTATAATAATTTAAATGGTAACATTTAAATTAATTTACAAAACAATTGCGATATTATGGGTAGTAAAAAATATAAACATTTGGTTTAAGATTAACACAATAAAAACTAAAAGAAAAGACAGAGCATACAATGCCTCTGTAGTATATACTAATACCTCGTTTGGTCAGAGATTTCTGGACTATTTAAGTCCTACTTGTTTTAATTAAATGAACAATGAATCAAAAAAAAAAAATATGTGTAACACCTAAATGTGCGAAAAAAATTATAACTACTAATTTACTATTTATAAATATGGACAAACTTTAATAATACTAGGTTATCTAACTGTATGTGTTTCACACTTTAGAAGCAAATTGTTCATATATGTTTATTAACTCGTTTAATATTATTTAACTTAGTTATAAATATAATATACTAATTGTTTCATTTATTATGTTAGTATGTTAATTAATTAAACATACATATGTATTATAACTCCCACCACAAGCTTAGCTTAAAGGTGTAGGTAATTTTTGTTATTATTTTAATAATAAATAATGTTTAAAACAAATTATGGTAAAATAATTTCAATTATTCCAATTCCAAAATTAAAATGGATCCCTTTTTCCTCACATTTTTTTTCGGTTTTTCATATTTATTAAGAAATTCCCTGAGAAAAACGAAAAACGACCTCTTTAAAGTATCTCCCCAGGAAAATTTCCTTTTAGAAAAATTGCTATTATTATAAGCTGGAGCAAAATTGCTGGTAGAAAAGTTGTCCATAGAATAAAAAAAATAAATAAACATCTTTGTAAAACCATAAGCTTCTTCGCTCCATTCAGAATCTAAAATATGTCAAATAGTCGTATTACACCGTGTAGGAACTACTAATACCGTTAATACTTACGCTGGCGTAGAAAAATATTATTCGTCATAATATTAATTAACTTCAGACTTTTATTGCATGTATTATCGAGTAATAAATATTATAAAAAATAGATATGTATAGATATGTGAGTGTTTTTGTCGGACAATGTTTATTTACCCCGCGCCGCGTCTAAAGTATATCGAATACTAATATCCATAATATCCATATAGGTATGTATTCATTATAGTATAATATTGTTTAGTTTTTTCGCTATGGTCGCAATTGATAATATTATATTAGTACGTATAAGACGAAAAAAAAAAATAAATCAAATCAAATGCCTGTAATTATCGAATGCTTGTAGTTTGTAAACAACGAACACTTTAAACACTCTGTTCGTGGTTTTTTACAAATTGTCTACAGTTGTTATACATTTATTAATGAACAAGTCTCAACAATATTTTCAACGAATAATTCAATCGGTTTTAATGTTTGTATTAAGGGGATTTCGCACGATATGCTTTACAGAAAAAACTCTCAGACTTCGTAGAGTGATTTGTTTTAAATCATTTTTAGAAACACTTTTTCTTTCAGTCGGAAAGAAAAAAACTTTTTATTAGGACGCATTGGACTTCGATTTTTGATTCAGCTACTACTAAAAATCATAAAAAAGAGTGACAAATAGGTCATAGTCAAACTCAAATTATAGCGTTTAAAAATATAATTTTCAAAATCCAAGTTCAATGTCTTCCTATTTTCAAAAATAAAAAATAAAAAATCGAAATAGGTTTTTTTACGAGGCATGAGAGAGCTTTTCCAGTGAAACATGTTTTTGAGATGAAAAATAGATCGGCCTGCGCTGGCCCTTTAATGTAATTTCATTCAGACGTACACCCTCTCCTCGCACCAATTACAACCCTTCGTACCTATGTAATTCAAGTAAAAATTAAAAAAAAAATATTTAAGGAAGACGACACTTAACCCTTCTTTCAAATCCGCATCTGATACAAATTATAGGTATGCAGTATGTACTGTCTAAAATATATGATTAATACTATTGTACATATATTCGTAATTAAGGGATGCATTTTTTTCAGTTCGATATTTGAACTGAAAACTGCAAATAATCGAAGACTACGATAGGTAAATTAATTCAATAATGAGATTTATTTTTGCGTACATACCATATTATAATATTATACAGAGGTATTTTGTAAAATTACAACAATTATCAACTTCAAATTTATTGAATTTATAATACATTTTTCTACCAGAAATCTTGCTCCAAAATTTTTAATTTCTTTTTTAAAGAAAATATTATCTACTTGGTGCATAGGGAGGTATACTTGTAGTTTTTTTTTAATAACTGGGAAAAAACGTAGGAAAAACGGGAAAATGACAGATTTCAGGCTTTGTTGACTGTTTTATTTATTTTTAACTGTGTTTTTTTGTTAATTCGGTGAAAAATAACCACAGACCTGACATTTTCACAGAATACTGTTATATATTGGCCTCTTTTTAGACGTATATGTCTATAGCTAGGCGATTTTCAAACTATTCATAGGCATTCAAATTTGACATTTTATAGCTTTTATTTGGTTTCATGGAGATCAAATTATTGGTCGTAATAAAGAAATGCTTGCAAATTCTTTCTAAGTTGTATTTGGCGATCAAATAAAACAAAGTTGAACGTATGAAATAGAAGTTATTACAGATATATATTAAAAAAATCTATTTTCTATCTTTCCAATTTTCCACCTACACATTGGCACATCTATCAGCAGTGTCAGCTCTTTAACTACGAACCTATTAAATTTTTTTTAACGTTTGGTTCGACCTTATACAAATTCGTAGAACATCTGTCTAATACTCAACCGTTTATATAATGTACGTAATAACGTAAACATCATAATAAAATGCTATCGATCGATGCGATTGCAGGGCTATATAAATATATCGCAAAATAATTTAAGTTTTTTTTTCTCAGTAAACAACTATAAGTTAAAATATATAACATCTAATAGTCGAGTATTATTCATCATATTATACAACTGTTACGAACAATCCTTTTTCGAAAACATTCCAACTCACGTTGTCAACAATATTCTACGATCAATGCACCTGTTGTATTTTTTTTTTTTTTATCATTTTTTTTATTAGCTAACATTCAAATATATTATTATACGTATATATTCAGAAATATCCGTTCAGAGACAATAATATAATAATATTATCTATACAAATGTACTAATATTATTGCGACCCGAAAACCTAATAAAACTAATTCCAACCTATACGAGTCGTTATTATTTATTTATTTGTTTTTTGTTCACTCTTTGTTGTCTACGTTCGGAAAAAAAAACGTGGGTGTCCGCGGCACAAACCTATATATGTGTGTATATATATTTATAGTAGGTACAAATTTAATATATTATAATATCTATATATAATATGCATGACACAATATATTACGTCCAGGCCGCAGTTCTGAGGTTTATAAAGTTTTACATAATAATAATAATATAATATCGGTGGTACCGAGTTTGTCAATGACGCAATTGCGCGCCACCGCCGCCACTGCCGTCGCCTCGTATTGACGCCCTCTAGTGGATTGCGTTAACCCGCATGTACTGTACTATTATCCAACAACAAAACCTCCTTGTTATGTTGTTGTATTTTTTTTTTTTTTTGTTTTGGTGTTGCTCAAACTTACATAACCCTCTCGCTCGCTCTCTCGACGCACCGCGTAGGTAGTTTTATGTATAGGTATATATTTACGCGCGCACTCGCGAGAGAGCTTATGTAAAACGAAATAATAAAAAAATTAAAAAAATAAGTCTATATACGGTATTGAAAAAAAAAATTAACAGAATATTATAACATACGAACCGGTACAATATTATTAGGTGTACGTACCCCGTCCGCCGCAATATATTACCACTAATAATACATTATAATACAGAAACCATTTAAAATATTATAAATTATAATAATGCTATAACTAATCCGGGTGTTACGAATAATAATATATTATTTTGTTGTAATCCGACAATAATATCGACTCTGTAATAATATAATGTAGATAATCGGAGACGCTTGAACCTGCAGTGGTTCTTAATCTTTTATCTCGTCCGGCGTCCCTTAATCGATGTAATATGTGAGCCAACGTGCACCTGTCACCAAACTAAAAATAGCGGGAAGTTTTCAAATGTCTACGGGTCAGTTTTATTTACATGAAACTCTTCAAATCCTCCCCCCCTCTCCGAGATCAAAATGCCCCTAGGCAATCGACACTGAAAATGCTAGTTAAGGGGCCTCGTCACTAAAATGTTGTTTTCTCCGTTTGTCTCGCACGTTACAATGTAGTAACAAAAGCATTCCGCACATTTCTACGATTGACTCTCCGGTAGCTGAGTTTAGAAAAACGACGAGATGATTATTTGTACTAAAAATGAGCATAATATTTGCTTTTTTTTTAATATTTTAATTTTTATCAAGATATGTGCGTGTTTTAATTTTTTATTAATTTTAAGAAATTCAAAATTCAAAACATTCGCAGGATCTGTATGGTAATTAATACTACTATTCCTTATTTAATGTATATAATGGTCCATTTTACCCGAATTCAACCAGGAAACTGCTGCAATCGCGGAAACGTGGAATGTCTTTGTTGCTATGTATTAAGCGCGGGACAGACTGAGAAAACAAACGCTATAGTGACGACTGACGAGGCTAAGAAGCCTCTTAATAATGTTTGTTAAATACTATAATTTAATTTTAATTTTAATTTTAAACGAATAAACAGGCAGGTACCCTTATTACAAGATAGTACAAGCATAAGTTAACATAGAATGACTTATGACAGATGAGTTTACAGTTGAATGATTACAATACTACACTGAACACTAAACATACTTATAGTATTATATTTATATACGTCATATTATATAATGTGCAGTAAATAATTGTACGAAATATGTTAAGTGTATTATAATATTAAAACTAAAAGAAATCCAATCGGAATAGGTGATAGGTAACATACAATAGGAAATGACGTTTTGTGTACGACCTTGAATTTGGATTTGGATTTTAGATAACCAATTTTTTTTTTAAACAAATAATCATTTTTAACGCACGCGCGGAAATAAAAAAAAAACCGATTTTAAACGGAAACATCGAACCAACAGGTTCTATTTTTTTTTTTATCGATTTGGTTATTAATTTCCACGTCAGATAAGTCGATTAACATCTTCTTACGTTTTTTAACTTAAGTGCTTTTATTTAAAAAATGGCGTCGAAAATCAAAAAAAAAAAAATCCTCTTTAAAGTACAATTTAAACAAATTGAGCTTTCAGAAAAGTTACTACGAGTAAAAATCGGAGCAAGTATACTAGGAAAAACCGTGTCCACAGTCTAGAAGAAGAATAAAAAAATAAAAAAAATAAACATCTTAGTAAAACCAATAGCTCTCTCGCTACGCTCGGAATCTAAAACAAAAATCGGTTCGTCCACCGCCGTATGAAATGAAAAGCGTTCAAACTATTATTTCGATAAATTCGACGTCGAATATAGTCGTCTATAAAACATCAAAATTCAAGGTCAGAAAAGAAAACAAATTACAGTTTCGTATAGAGGTACTTATATGTATATAACCTGCACCTTCGAAAACGTAACACACTGTATGTAATAACTAATAATAATACGAGTATAATTGCCGTGTATAACGATATTAATATTATATATTCAATTTGAACCCGCGCACACTACTATGCTCCTGCTGTACACGAAATTATATATATATATATATATAAAATATATTTGTATTATTATATATTATATATTAGGTATAGGTTATTACAAATTATATATTACAATACACACACACGCATACACGCATTGTTAGTGTGTATAATAGTAGTACAGGTACAACAGGTATTATGGTGATGTGTAATCGATAATTTTTTTTTTTCGTTTCGACATCAAATATCACATCACGCGCGTCAAATCGTCCAAATAATAATGATAATAATATTATATATATTGTTTTTCGTAATATAATAATAATAATAATATTCTATACAACGCACGCACGACCGGGTCGTTTACATATTATTGCCATTATTACGCGTACACTGTCGTTAACGTAATAACTGTGTGTACATTTACTCGGTTCTAGAGCTTTATAATAATACGCGTTTAATACGCCTAACGTCCGTTGAACTACAGCGGACAAAAGGACATTAGCGGAGGAAAGTGATATCACCGATTAAGTAGGCAAGTTGGCTCAATATCTAAGGAGATCGTGAGTATGGTTAGGTAAAGCACGCAAGACAAAACCAGAAAAATGAAGCAAGATATCCAAGATTCTCGGAACTATTAAAAACGGTGAAATGAAATAAATTGTTTGTCAGCGTGGTCTCCGAAAGACCGTAAAAATCAAGAAGTAAAATAATAGAAAGAACTATACCTAATTGAATAGGTTATTAGGTATATTTGGTTCGAACAATAGTTAGCACATAGAGTTACGAATAAATTTAACGCAAAAACCAACTTCCAGAATAAAACAAATGAGATTCAACAGAATGTTTAAGGATTTGTGTTTATAGTTATATAATATTAATAATACGCAAGTTTTGGTCAGGACTTTGTCAGCATACTCGTTTCAGCGAGCCCAAACAATTTTGTTACAGACGACGAGGTTACGAGCAAAACATATATACAACCGGAACGACGACACGCGGGATTTAAAAGGAAACGGCCGAGTGTGGTACTGTAGTCGAACTGCAAGGTATGTCTTTATGGGCGGTAGAGCTCTTTGACTATAATATGAGAACGTAAATAAGATACATAAAGGTGGTTTATGTGCATTAGAGAAGTGCCCGGAAAGTGGTCTGCGAACGAAAATCGACCACAGATGATATTGACATTTATAAAGTATATAGATGACGAAATAGTGACACACGGATGTGAAAAGAGTCGATCCGAGAGCAGCTTATACCGGACTTGTGTGTGGAACGGAAATTAGAAGAAGATCGAAACGGGATTGAATTTCGACCGGCGTTTAGTGTAAATCGGAGCGCGAAAATCGCAAAAATACAAAATAAAAAAAAAACCGAAAACGTTATTAAGCGACGATGATGATGGCATAAAAGTTCAAAAATTGGAAATACTATTATATATATATATATATAATAATGTAACACGTTGCGAAATAAACGACTATGGGAAAAAAATCGCGAACATATCAAAATGCGCTATTTGATTACATGTATAATATCTTTGGTAGACATCATAAACGTGTTTTCTTATGTGTGTATAGACTGTATACACGTAATACGCGCCCGCGCGCGCGCGCGCGTGTGTGTATTTGTGTGTGTAGGCGGCGAGCGCGCGCGCGTGCGTGTGTGTGTGCGATGACCCGGCGGACCTGTTGCGCGTTGACGAATCGCGACTTCGCCAGGCGCACAACATTTCATGTATATAGGTAGGCAGATAGGTAGGTAGTATATAGTATAGGTACTCGTACACGATAATAATAATTATTATTATTACTATAGTAAACTTGTCCTTGACGCGCAGTAGCCGACCGTGAAAAGTCAGCCGACCGCCGCCGCGTGACGTCACGGCCGCAGTTAAGTTTTTTACTTTTAGATTTGGAAAAAAATAAATACCTCTCGTCGGATACGCTAGCTGCTATAATAGGTAAATTCATATTATTAGACCTAGCGGTCGACGACTTCTCCACTATACTCATCAGTCGACCACAGCTGCAGCGGGGCCGAGCTATACCCGAAGGGGCCAATAACAGAGACCTCGCAATAATTGTTTAGTTACGAACGTTTGTTAACGGAATAAAAAATAACGGAATTATTTACAAATAAAAAGTGCCAAAAAAAAAAAAAACCGGCGAGAGACGTAAAGGTCTGCAATTTTAAATATTTAGACGGAAAGAAAGTCGGTTTAAATTTAAATGTCTACACTCGAATGTACCTGCCAAGTGCCGACACACTTGAATTATTAATTTTTCAATTTTTTGTTATATTATTTTTTATCGATTTTAGGTCGCCTCAGCGAGATATCATGCCACTAGCGTCTATAAAAATAGAGTGATAGGAACGAACAGACATGATGTTAAGTCAGTCATTTTTTTTTATAATAACCTGTAATAATACTAAACCTGGGCAGAGTTCCTCTTCGTTCTCCAACGACGATTTTGTCTTTTCTAAATTGTTTTTTTCCCGAAATAAATAAAACCCATAACCCCCGTACCAAAATGTTAAATACTAATCAAAGTCGGTAAGGGAAAATATCACTTTTCTCTGGATAATAAAAAAAACATAAAAAATAAAATAACACGAACTATTAAAATTTGAATTTAGTATCGGTACGATAATAAATGCCAACGGTTTGACGATCCAGGACGATAGTAGACAAAGATTATTGTTTTATCCACTTCAAAATGTGACTTAATCGACGTGGCTTTTGTCATTGATCTCTACCTTCTCCTTTTGTTTACATCCGAAGCGATTTTTTAACTATTAAGATTAGCACTTAGAACATTAACATGCTCCTGGGAGCAATGTCGGATTTGGAGTTTCAAATCGAGAGAAATCAGATACGACGTCTGCTATATATCGATGTGATACAATTGCACCAGCGGTAACAGGTGACCTGGATGCAGCGTAAAGTACGAGAATCACGCTTCACTAAAACGTATATATTATTATTATTATATAGAAACGAAAATTCACGCTTTCGGCCACATTGACCCGAATAAAATAGTTTGTTTCCCCCTCGCCGTCTTCTTCTAGCATTCGGGTTCTTTACGTACACATGCACATTGCACACTGCTATATATATATAAAGACGTGAATAAATATAATAATATTGTTTTGAAAGAGAAACAGCCGCGCATTGAAGTCGTGTTCTTGGGGTCAATGTCTCGGAACGTAAATTTGTTTTTGTATCCTCTCTTCCGTACTATTATCGCCGTCATAAATTCTTTCCTACGCGTAAAAATTGTATACAGGTACGTATCTATACCCGTGCGAAGATCACGGGCGTAAAGCTGCTGTACCGGGGGGAGGCGAGGATGACGACGACGAAAATCAACTTACATACAAGTGCACAGAAAAAATCCTTTAAAAAGCATTGAAATTCGTAAAATTATATACTAGGTTAAATCAAATGGTGAAACTTAGAATTAAAATAGTAAGAGCGGGGTTAAAATGTTGAAACCCCAAAAGGATCTATGCTGCTCACGAGTGTTTTCTTTTAGAGTTGAAATGGCTTTTTTGAGAATTAAATCCCGAACTATACGTGGCGTGAATAACAGACAAATTATTCCTCCCCAGTAACGCCCCCCTCCCCATAAGGCACAGGTCATGTCATTATTATAATTTTTAAGACAATTTCATAAATATTTTAAAAACATTGAAAACAATTCGGATTAGATCGAAGTTCTATTATTTTGTTTAAAAATATTTTGGAAAAATAAATTTCATTCAATTAAATTTGAATACTTATATATTTCATACTTTTTTTTTGAATATTATTAATTTGAAGTTACCTATAAGAAAAACCGTTCAAATTCCGCTTATATTAAACCAAAGATAAAAATGTCTTCATCAAAATGAGAACGCGCCCTCTAATTATGTATATCGTTAAAGTAAGTACTCACTAGCTTACTATTTTTATAGACTATAATATATACCCTGATGGCTGCACGGAATATTTTTGAATTCTCTCAGGTAAACTACATGAATATACTGCAGATAACAGAAAAATCAGCATAATGGAACATATTATGTGGTTTAAAAACGTTAGTGTTTTTTATTTTTATTTTTACACTATCAAAGTCTAAACAATACTTAAACATCGTTTTATGTGGATTTACAGTATACTTACACGGAACCTAACAAAGGAACATAATAATAATATTATCTGTAATATGTGCATTAATTTTGTTATTTAAACGTAATAAATAGATAATAACTAATAAGAATAATAACAAAAATAAATTATATGTCGATAAATGCAATGGGCAACATGTATTTTATTGGTTTGTTGCCGTAAGGTTTACATAAACAAACAAAGGTGGGATAGAACAAATAACTATTAAAATACTAAGTTTATCTAATGAAACCAAAACGCAGCCAATTTAAAATTAATATAGAACATGTATTTAACTAGATTAAAACTTGAGATACAAAAAAAAAACTAACTGCAATGTTGAATGTCATGCATTTCTATGAAACTTGGTTGATAAAAATTAAAAATTGGGCTATTAGTAGGTATAGTTAAAACCAAACTATAATAAGTTAACGATAAAAATAATTAACTAGCTAATATGTTCACCATTGAATAATTGAAAAGTAAGTACATAGAGTATAACCTAATGAGAACGTTTCAAAAAAAAAAAAAATAAATAAAACCCATTAAATCTTGTCCGCCAATAAATAATTCACCGATTTTTAACGATTCATTCGGAATTTTCGAACATATTATAATAACGTGAGTTTTTTTTTTTATTTCCATTCAGTCCTATAATACCTACATATACAAATGCAATAAGTTAACGCCTTAGGGTCCGAGCTATAGATGTTGGGAGTATTATACACCTCTGTATATAACACAGTACATATAGTTAATGGACTTATGGTACCTATATAATAATACATACTTCTTGCTATAATATTATTTTAAAGACAAACGCGCCCACACACATTTCCACAAAGTCGTTACTTACTTAATCGTTGCATAACATCGATTAATTGCATAGGTCTTGTCGAGCAGTGTATTCGTTCACCGGAGTAATTATTACTATATTATTGTTTCCCGATAGAATAATGTGCAAACACATATACCTATGTCCTATACATACAGGTTAACTCAAATCTATATTGCAGCCATTTTATCAATAATAATGTGTATATTTTTTTACTGTTTTTTATTGGGATTTTGGGAGTCAATTTTTGAAATTTGAATGAGAACCTATATTCAAAATTCCATAATTAGATGAGTAACATAAAAAGGGTGGTTCTAGGCCAGGTGACTGATCCTGATCGTGTACACCTCTTCTTTGACATATATTTTTCCCCAGCCCCTTTTTTGTATCTTTTTTAGTTTATGTAATACATCTTGTATGAATATAATTTTTACTACGGTATATTAAATATCGTTTTGTGCTATAAGATACTTAAACATAACAGAGAACTCGACTTTTGATTTAACGTACAACAGCGAGAAATGAAAAAGATTTTTAATGGCATAAACGGTCCTCGATAGACCGACAAGTTGAGTAAGTTAATATTCTAATAAGAATATGTACATATGCTTAACAAACGTTTGAATCACGTGGGGCTGTATCAAGAGAGTCAAGACCGGCGCGTTTGCTAACTCAAGACCATGCATTTATAGTATAATAATTATTTGTTTTCCATTAAACGATTCGAGAAAAATTGTCCTAGGGGATAAAAATAAAAAAAAAAACCGTAAAAGAAAGGTATTTTTCGAATGGGATGGGGACGGGTGCCAAATTATAATATGTTGTGCATTTTTGTTCGTATAAATGCCACGGCACTGTGTATTAGACTGCTAGTGCTTGAACCATTGCGGTGAAACACCCTGTATATATTAATATAACACAGCGGCAGTAACGATTGTGAAAACGACTAAATAATATTAACTATACGATAGGTATTAAAAACGCTTTATAAGATGTTAAAAATATTTTGAAATAAATATAATATATAACATTGTTATATCTTATGATAATACGTAACCAAGCCGCCGCCTACTTACGACAAACGTTCAGACGTAAACACCATGTTGAGTGCCCGCGCGAACGTAACTGCGATAATAATACTTACGGCTTTCAAACGGGCTATTTGCAGAAGTTTTAAAATTTATTCCTGTTAAAAATTCATCTGCGTCCCTCACTTCCCCTTGAGAGAGGAGCTGAAGTTAATCCGCATATTTTTTTATTTTCTGGTTTTACATAATATAATCGTGTCAGCCCGTATTTTATTTTAATTTTAATAATTTTAACAAAAAACGCCGGATTTAGTCAATAAAACTATTTCAAAAAGAATGATATAAGTTCCTATATAAACAGAGTGTTTCATTTAAATGGGTACATTCATTATCTCGGAAGTATTAACTTTATTCAGAATTTATTTTATAGACATTTAAGAAATAAGCAGTTCTACAATTTTACATTTATATTATTTTTTGTCACCCTTATTTTGGGGTGTAAAAACACTACCTACTTTTGATTTTCAAATGGTAACCTATATTAAAAGTTCCATAAATATATGGGATATTAGTTAAAATGAATTTTGACGCTGAAGTTGTTAATTTCCGTCAATACGTTAACGAGTTATTTAACTTTAAGGTTCGGTCGGAGGTGAGTAGTGGTGTATCATATTTCTATAGAGCAAGGCACGCGGCGTTTTAATAATGCATCACTACTCTCCTCGAACCAAACTAATTTCGTATCTCGTCAACGGGTTGACGAAAATCAAAAATTTCAACAGAAAAATACTTCATCTAATTATGAAAATTTTAATATAGGTTTCCATTAGGATTTCAAAAGCTGACCTTAAAAACTCTCAAAAAGACGGTAAAAAAATGTAAAAGTATACAAACTATTTTAGATGTTTATAAATCGAAGAAATTGTATGTTTTAAATTTTTCTCTATTTTAATTATTTACATAAGAAAATGGCTGTAACATACAAATTGAATCACCCTGTAAATAATATATATATATATATATATATGTGTTTATAAAATTTAAAAGATTTGATTGTATAAGTCTATTAAAAAAAAATTTAATAATAATGATATTGTGATACACAAAGGGGAAGAGAGGACGCCAAGTTTCTGTATTATAATAAGTCATTTATATTTATGACTTGTAAATTTAATAATTATCTGCCGCCCAATAATAATTCCGTCGACAGCGAAGTCGTACCGGCGCAACTGAATCAACATGAATACATAATAATATACGAAAATATCGATTAAGAATTTTATATGAAAAAAAAAAATCAGTGATAATAATATTATCTACAACTCTTTACTCTGTGATTATAATTTATCGAATGTTCCGATGATGATGATGACGATGATAATTATTGGGTACTTCGTATAACGCACGACTAATAGGTGTAGCCATGTAGGGTACGAAATAAATTTAAAAAAATAATAATTAAAAATCCGTTCGAAACCGCTTATACCGTAATACTACTAAGCATTGGCATATTACACTTTGGCCGCGAGTAAAACGGTTTATGAGAAAAAAATAGTTTCGGTTATAATCCGATACAATATAAATCAGTATATTATACAATTCGTACAGAAAAAACGTGTTCAACTATACATAATATATATAAAAAAAAATACTTTGATAGGTATAGTAATTATTGTTGTTTATTCTGCAGTGTCATTATATTAATTTATCAAACGTTTCGATAATTCGTGTTTCTTACTGCATATAACACATAAATAATAGCCGCGGAGTACAAAAATATATATACCTACTAGTATTATTCACCCAGTGGTCGAAATTCGACCGTCATACCGGTTATCCTTCTCTCACTTCATCTCTCTCTTTTCTCAAGTTCAACTAAAACACCTACAACTCTAATAACTTCACTTAATTCATATTAAAGTAAAAATGGTTAAATAAATTAAATCGAAAACAATAGTGAAATTTTAACATGAAAACAAAAGTAATCACTAAGGCGGTTACCAGCTACCTGGTTTACATCAAAACGAGTTTCGTGACAATGAGGTGATTGGATGCTGTTGAGAATGGTATACGAGGACAGCCGGTATATGTGAGATGGGAGATCGGGTCAAGTGGAAGTTTAGAACGAGGGTGACCGACCCTGAATAATCGGGATGAAATCGAAGGAGACGAAGTGTTTAATAAGTGATAATGTTTATAATGCGAATACTCATAGTAAATATATTAAAATGTATTTTTGATAGGGGATATTTCATGCACCGAATATTTTAGTCATGGGACATAAATCCCTGTAAAATATAAAAATAAATAAATAACGCGGCAGTTTTGTATAATAGTATAACATAATATGTTGTCCCGTGTCCGTACAAATACATCTGCAGCAATGTGTATACGAAATTAGGCCTTCTCCCTGGCCAAAATAAAGCTGCAACGGCCTACTGGCTATAAATATAAACCGTGATGTTAAAATACAGTGTGAAACACGAACTGTTGCCATTATTGGTAAAACATGTTAACGCAGTTTACCCCGAATTCATCCTGAAATATTATGATAATTTTTTTTCCGTGTTTTTTTTTTCTTTTAAAAAACAAAATAAATTGTAAACATATTCGTCTAGTAATAACGTCACGTATAAAGCCTAATCGTACAATCGTGCGTTTATTTTTAAGTGTAGTAAATATACTCTGTAACGAATGCGATTCGGCCAATACAGCCGGTGTAGTTCAACAGCGTGTCTAAATGGCTAGCGAAAAAATAGGTCAATCCAAATATATGGCATCGAACATATTTTTGACATTGCTATTTAAAAAAAAAATAAAAAATTGTACTGCACATATTCCCTTACTGGAAGCATAAACGGAGATGAAGGAGAAGGGGTCTCGTACCAAAATTTGTATTTTATATAATAAACCAGTCTTAATAAAACATATATTTGAGTTATTTTAGCCCTCCCTTCTCCCCCAAAAAAATTCATACCTATAGTTGAAAATTCACAATCATACTACAACCGAATTCTCTATCAAAACATATCTATGTACGTTATATTGCATCTGGGAACAAACATTTATATTAATATCGAAATATAGAATGCATGGTAAAAAATGTATTTTTATTTTAAACTCATCTTTACTAATATTATAAAGAAAAAAGATTTGTTTGTATGTTTGAAATGGATAAGCTCAAAAACTACTTGACCGATTTTAAAACTTCTTTCACATACAAAAAACTACATGGGCTATATTTTATTTTCAAAAAAATAAGAGATCCCTACGAAAATTGCAATAATTTAATTATATTTAGGTATTTTTGGTACGAATAAATCTAATTATTCATTTATTTATTTTTGTTTATTCATGGGTTACCTTGGTGTCATAGATGAAAATTTGGTTATTACGGTCAGCTAGTATATTATTAATTATTATAATTGTTAAAATATTTTCCGGAAAATATCGATGTAATACCCAACTCGTATGAATATTTAATACAAACTAATTCGGTATACCTATATTATTATTTTATTGTACTTATATTATTTACAGTTTATACTAGTTGTTACACAGTTACTACACAGTTGTTTATCTATTGATTATCATTGCTAATGGAAAACAATTCTCTGCTGAGTTCGGTTGTATATGTTTTAAAATGCCGTAATATTTACAATTTGAAAATAATATGTATCGTACATTTTCCCGTTTTTTCCCATTTATTATGAAAACCGATAGGAAAATCAAAAAACTCCCTCTTTAAAGTACCTATTAACTAGATAAAATTTCCTTTCAGAAAAGATACTTTACACTTAAAAATCGGAGCAAAAATTGTTGGTAGAAAAGTTGATTTAAAAAGAAAATAAAAAATAAAAATCATTTTAAAACTAATACATACCTTGATCCATATATTGTGTATGCATATTAACATACGTATTAATTTTTTTCAAATTCAAAAAAAGTTAAATTTCTTAATTAACTATATACTATTATCTTTAGTTATTTTCGGGATAAAAAAATTGTATTGATTATAATTGTTTGAAAAAAATAGGACTATTGGAATTGACAGTGATTGCTATTAAAAAATAATAAATAATGTAATAAATAATAATGTCATTTTTATTGCACACGAGCACGTCAAAACAGTTAAACATTTTAAAGTTATACTTGATACTTATACTAAATGTGAAAAATTTGTAAAAAAATGTAAAAAAAAAATTTAAATAAATTAGGCTGAGATATTTAGTGGAAAATATAAGAGTAATAATAAGATGGAATATTGGAGTATTCATACAAAATTTATTCTACCGGCTCTCACGCATATAAGGTTACAGATACGTATTTGGTTTAAACGTGTTTAAATGTTCTTTTTTAATATTTTAAACGAGAAATATATTCATGCGAAAGAAATTTAATATTCGTTGTTTATTTATAATAATATATTATGCTTTATACAGTACGTATTTTAGCACTTGTATATTCAATAATAATAATAAATTGTGGTAAGTTAAATATTTTGTTTAAGCGTGCCTAATTACTGTCAAGTCTCGGTACTCGATTCGATAAAAAACAAAGAAATATGCGCATACGTGTGCGATTTAAAAAAAATAAAAACAAATTGCAGCAAAATTGTACAATATACACACAATAAATACATATTATATAGGTACCTTAAAAATGTATTTTAATCGTTTTAATTTTAATAGTTTAATCGTATTGATTTATTTTTATTTTTCGTGTTCAATACGCTATAGTCAAAACATGTCAATAATGTTTTTTAGTGGGTAAGTAGATACACTTATTAATAATTAATGTATGTAAAGTATTAAAGTATATTATTAGTATTTAATTATGAGCATTTATTGCTCATAAATATTTTTATGACAATTTTTTTTTTTTTAGATTATGAATCAAGCGCATATTTTTCGTTTGTAAACAACTTTTCAACTCAAAATCTTATCGTAATCAAAAACCAACCGGAAACGATTGCATTGTCGCTCTATAGATACCGTAAAAAAAAACGAGCTTACGGAACTCCCGTTCCGTATTTCCCGCGGCAACGACGCGCACGAAACATGACCAATTTTTTTTTGTGTCCGTCGCCGTTATATTGCACAATATTTGTCACGGTCACATCGCGACGCGACACGTGAAATAACAATAGTATCACATTGATTATTTTATCGCATGAACCGGCGTATATAATATCTATAAATAGGCAGAGATTACGATGAAATTTGATCAAATTATATCTTGAATAATATCTTGACAAAAGTAGGTACATATATATGTATTTCGGCTGTAACTGCATATAAGTGCCGAGCGGCATTCGATAAAAATTCACTGAGTATACAAAAATCATCATGATTCACAAACCCGCGCGGGGGGGGGGTTATTTGTCACCGCATCTCCCTAAAATAACTAACCGCCTAATATTTCATTATACTATTGCCGCACGATTGATAATTATAGCGTTTTTATCGAATTAAAACTCCATATTATTACGCCGTCTAAACGTAACACTGCAACCGCACTTTCATCCCACCCCCACCCCATAAATATAACGACTGGCTGTATGTCACTGGAGTAGCTTGATTTATTGAATGGAAATTTGACTCGTTCGAATCCGATTGTTAAAATAAAAATTCCTACCGTCCGGTTAGATGTATAAAAAAAGTTTCAACGATTTATATTTTATTTATTATGAATTATTTACCAAATACGTGTCCTCCCGTTGTAAATTCTAGTCGACACCACTGGTATCATTTGAATAATAATCTTATATATTTATATAATATTCTCGGAATTTTACCATCAGTCGTAAACAAGACTTATTATTTTATCAACTTTAGACTTTCAAATAGCGACCCTTAAAAAAGTCACCCTGTATACTCATGATAAACGTAACGCTCTGTATACGCGATCTACATCCGTGGGGTTCAGGACGTTTGGTCGGAGATTAAACCGGAAATCATATCGCTGCCGGAGACCGGTTAAAAAAGTACTTTTTTTTCGTGTTATTTATGATATGATTGATGACGGGGGGGAAAAGGTATAATATAAATGTACAACGATTTATTATACTAACAAACAGCGGGGTTCGGGACTTTTAACGCGTTTTACTTTTTGTTTTTGACTCAACATAAAACCTAACAGAGCACTGTAGAAATATAAATGCGTCACGTCGCTACAGCGATTTCAAATAACGTTATACCTACCTATTAAAATTCAAAAACAGTTATTTTTGCTTATTTTGCTTATTTTGACGGTAAAAAAAATGTTATTCGCTGACTTTTTTTTCTGTTTTGTTACGATACATGAACGCTTCTTCTTTTTTTCTCCTTCGTCTTCATCCCAGTTATTGGAGGTCGACCCCTCACCCCTCCTCCCCGTCCTAAACCTTCCCTTGAACCAATATCCCACCTAACATACACTGACTGTTCTAAAGTGTCTTCATATTATTGACAATCGCATCCAAAATCTCTTTTTCGGTCTCCCTCTTCCTCTCATCCCCCCTACGTTGATTTTTATTTTTCTACTAACGAAGCCATACAAATACTACCACATATTTACTCGTCCCTTATCCAATATTCTTTCGTCATTCCACCCATCAACCTGAGCATTCTCATCTCTGATACACTCAACCTCTGTTCTATTTTTAAAATAGAATAACAAATGTTAAACTTACCCGTGTAATACGCCTGATTTAATTTGAGCAGGGCCGAGTGGAACTTGTCCTGTCTGTACAGGGCCTTGCCCTCGGCTAGTAATTCGGATGCCCTCCATTGGGACGGCCACAGTTTTTCCACAAATGATTTGATCAACACATTGACGTGTGGCTGGTACGGCGTGCGTTCACCGCACTCGGTGCACACCACGGTGGGCTTGGTCACGCAACCCTGGCAGAACGTGTGACCGCACAGCAACGTGACCGGATCCCGGAACACCAGGTCACAGACGCCGCAACCCAACGGCGACGAGCTTTGCAAATGTCCGTGGCGTTGGTGGTGCTGCTGTTCCGGCCGAATCACCGGATTGTCGTCGGCCACCTGCAGTCGGATCAGTTCAAGAAACGCCGAGGTCACGTGCCACAGGAAATTGGAAGGTAACGGACCGGCCCGAAAACACTGGGCGTACAGGTCCAACGATTCGCACACCCGGCCGCATTTGGCCAGCGAATCGGCGTACTCGATGTACGCGTCCAGATTGTCGTAGCCGGCGCCACGAGAACCTTGTATCCGCAACAGCAGTTCCCCGTCGCGCTTTTGATGCTCTTGCTGCAGCTGCTGTTGTTGTTCGGCGCCATACGTACTGATGTATAGACCGGAGAACTTGTCATTCGTTGCCACTTCGGCCATAAAATCTATTTTACCAACTTCTACCGTTTCGTGAATGGCAAACGGCATTAACCTGCAAACATTCGGACACCGCGCACACATTAAAACATACGAATTATTCGCTGATTTCTGAGTGGTAAGGTATCATATAATGAGCGTTAGGTCATGACGATTTATAATATATCCTACGGTTATTCGGATTATATCGGCCACTAAATTTGGTTTATTAGCATAAAGAAAAACAACCGACTCATTGATTTCCTCTTAAACAAATTCATTTGCTATTAAATACACTCCTGTGGTAGATTTTTTTTTTAAATTGTTTATCTCCGTGACGTTATTAAGGTATGACAGCCGAGTATTTAAGGTGCAGCATTTTATACGGTTGACAAAGGTCAAAAAATGTTCCGTTTTTAAGTCAAACGTAAGTTACGCACTGCTTTTTAAAAAATCGGATTCTATAGAGCCCTACGCAATAAAACAAAAAACAAATATAACGATCATTGTAGAGAACACATTATTTTTATTTTATTAAAATGTAGCGACAATGGTGGTGCACCGCAATGAAGTACGTATAGTATAAGTAAAGTGTAATTTATTTATATGGGCGCCCGTAGGAAAATTGACCTTTTTTTTGTTTTGCTTACTTTCTAAGACCAGTAGAATGTTATTTAAGAGGGGGGGCTATAAAATCAAACACCAAAAAGTACTTAAAATGAAATAATGTTTGAAATGTTAAAGCCCAAAAAGGGGTAGATTTCCCGTCTTGCCCCCCCTCCGAGCACCCATGAATATAAGTACATAATATTTAGGCACCTGTTATAACCTATACGCCATAGCAAGTTAACAATACGGATAAACTCGAAACCAGTCCGGTCGCTAGGCGATCGTATTCATCGCGAGTAGGCGCACGTGTGTCGTCCACACATCCCCCCCGCCCGCCAAATCACCGTCATCGTTTCCCCCCTCCCCGCGACACGTGAGCAGGTACCCCTTCTATACACGGCGTCACGTTTAACCGCACATTACACACGGTTACGTAACCCAGAACCAGTCGGCGGAGTGTTTACAAGCACATAAAAGTCTGTGTGTAGTAGTAACATTCACACACACACACGCTCGCAAACCGTGTGTAGTGTGCGTTATGTGTATACGTAGCGTTGTCGGCGGTTACTCGGTTATCGCCCGCCATCGACTGGTTAAAACCATTATTGTTATTATTATTATTATTATTATTATTATTAATGCTATTACTCATTATTACTTATTGTTATTACTATATTATTATAATATTATAATGTACAATCGTGTCGATTAAAAATTATTATTTAACACAGACGCGACTACCTATTATTATGGGCGTGTAAAGCTCGCGTGTGTCGTACGGCGGGAATTATTACCGATAACAGAACATTATGTACCTACCGAAATGTCTAATTGTTGCGAATAATAATTGATTAATTAGGTACCCGCGTGTATACACGGTACGCGCACGGCGTGCAGACGCTTTTATGATACGTATTTAAAAATATGACAGCACGTTTACGCTACAGAGTGATTTTTTTTCGTTCTCGTCACGGTCCGGCGACGGTTGCGGGTAAAACGATCGGTTATAACACCGTATTCGCAATAGTTATTTCAAAATGTCTCACGCGTTCGCGCGCGTTATTATAATACATATATGTTATTACATATTCGCATTCTGCACCGGTTGAAGCTCAAAACCGCGTAATGTAAACGGGGCCCGACGGCGGGAGTGGCTGTTCGTCAATTCGCAAAAATGCGTCCGTATGCTCGTCTAAAGTGATAATACGAAAATCGGAGGGCAGTAGGAGAGGGGCAAACATTGTCGGAACGAATAAACGCGGGCTATTCCGTAACAATCTCACTCGAACACCTCCGCCGAGACGAATAACCAGATCACGATGGGAAAAATATCGCTCTGTACGCTCTACAACTTGCTGTAACCGTAATACGTATTTTTATGGTGTACATTTTTCCCGGGTTCCCTACGGTTATCGGCTGCTACGCGACCAACGACGATTAATAATATTACTATATACAAACAGTTCTGCGTAATAATAATAATAATAATAATAATAATAATAGTATAATGTAATGGCACGACGACGGCCGCACGTTATTAGGTCATTTCTGCACAACTACGACTACGACTATACAATATTTTGTGTGTGTGTATGCATAATTTTATAATAATAATATTATGTACGCGTTATCGAAATAAATTACCCTCGATTTTATTTTTTTTTTCTGCAATCGTGTGAATCGGCCATAACGTCTGTTATGAAATTCGCCTAGGCAATAGCACGACTTGACCCAAAGGTTTCCAAAATGTACCTCGAGGCGGCCGCTGCGGTGTCTGTAAAGGGACGCCGCGTCACTATTTCGAATATTTACTGGTCCGAAAACGAATTTAAAACCCAAATGATAACGGAAACGGTGAGGCTTTTTTTTTAAGTTTTCTCAAAAAATACTTTCGTTTAGTAAAAATGCCTCAAATTATTTGCACTGTACCTTAAACGATGTAAATGTCCAGTAATAGTAGCGAACTCGAGTTTTTTTGGTGGTAGGGGGCGGGTGAGTGATGATAGTGGTGGGAAATATACATACATAGTATGAGTGGTATTTGTAAAAAATATATCTATAAAAATGAGCTGATACTGGGGATGAGTGCTGCCACTGTTGTAGGTTGGAAGTGGAGAAGGTGGGATGTCTAAGGTTATTTCATTTAAATCTGTAAGCAACGATAAACCATTGATGATGAAAAACGATTCTGGGCGCAGTTCGCTAATACATAATTTGAAGTGCCGTAATTTTTTTTAATCTAAGCTTCCTACGTATTTTCCTGATTAATATGAAAACTAATTCGAAAACCAAAAAAACGAACTTCATCATTAAAAACAAGATTAATAGTTCAATAAAAAAGGCCTCTTGTCGTTTTTCAATTGGAGCCATATTTGTGCTAGAAAACGTGGTAAGTACTTATTTAAAATATCGAAATCGTGATAAAATCGTATTTATTTTCCCAATTAATCCTTTTTATTTTAAATACCGTTTAGAAGAATAAAAAATGATCTATGGTAGTTACCAAGTAGACAAAATTAACTTTCAGAAAAGGTGCTACACTTATACATCGAAGTAAGTTTTCTACTAGGTCTACATAGGTCAGTATATATAAAAAAAATAATGTAACATTGTAAAAAAATTAAAAAGTCGTCCGATGATTTTAAAAATTTTACCAAGTCTGGGTAAGTCAAAATTAAGTATTATTACCATGTTTCAAGTCTCTACCTGTATTTATAATCGAATTACAGTAAAAAAACACCTGAAAGTTAAAATTCCTTAAAAGCTCAGAAGTGGCCCAAAAGTTTTGGCGATGATACCGTAATAAAGTGAACAAAAAAGGTATCTTGTAATTTTTCGATTAAATTATTTTTTTCTGATAGAAAACATCGTCCGTGTTTTTATAAAATAACGAAATCGTGAAATTACACGTTTTCCTACGTTTTTTTTCCACTTAAGTGCTTTTATTTAAAAAATAGCGTCGAAAGTAAAGTACGATTTTAAAGTACAATTTAGACAACTTGAGCTTTCAGAAAAGTTACTACGCGTAAAAATCGCAGCAAGTTTACTAGGAAAAAACGTGTTCACAGCCTAGAAGAATAAAAAAATTTAAAAAGAAACAAACATCTTAGTAAAACCAATAGTTCCCTCGCTACGCTTAAAATCTAAAATAATACTATGAGTTATGTAATATATTACAGTCAAAGAAGACCACTATAATACAGTATTGCGTTGTTCACCCAAGTATTTTTAAATAATTTTGGCGTCACTGCCCAGTAATACTTTATTTTAAAAAAATGTCTAGGTTCCCGACATTTTTTCTATAAGATTAAACAAAAACTAATAAAAATTGTTGAATTGTTGATACAACGTATTATTTACCTTGGTTACCGTAGCTATATAATAAGACAAACATCACAACTATAATATTATTCCGATCATAATCGGTTTTTGATTGCAATTAATTACAAGGGTGCCCTGGGAAAACCTAAGTTCAAAAAGAAAAATGTTTTGAGAAACACTGATCTAATCTATACCTAAATAATATTATAACACTACCGGACGCGTTTGTATCGTTAATAATATTATATAAAAAACGATTCAAATATATTGACAAACAAGACTCCTCCGATAACCAATAACACCCTAACCTAACATAACCTAAGCGAAGAAAATATAGTTTTGAAGTGAATATTTTTTTGAAATAAAAACAACTTATCGTGTTTTTGTATAAATAATTATTTAGAATTTTCCTTTACAAAACTGCGTTTTTAAAAACGGACTCTTTTTTCGAGCTGTACCTATTACGTGAAACTGTTTAGTGTTCCTACGGGGATATAAAAGGTTAGTTTTTGACTTTTGGCATCTAAACTCGAGAATTAGAAACGAATTTCCCAGAGATTTTTCTTTCAGATTTACTATATAATATGTTTAGTCGTTTTTGATTTTCGTCCAGCATTAAAATCAGTAAAGAGACTTAATCACGAAAAAAACTAATTCATCGGTCGATCCCCCGCTATGTCATGTCCACAATAATTATTTCATTGTTTTATTTGTTTTTTGAACGACGCACAGAGATATATGCGTAATCATTTTTTTTTCTATTTCAACCTTAAAATATTATCATTTACGATATAAACATGACAAATGCGCGATTCCGTTTAATCGTTTTTTTTTCGTACAACTACGAATTTATCGATATTTATAGATTAAACTCGAACAAGTTCCATTTAGGTAGATACATGTTTTCATAATATATGGATAACATATATTATATGTTATGTACCAATATACTTTTTGGCAAATAAATTAAAAATTAAAAAAAGGAAAAAAAACCTGTCACTGATTTGAATAAAAACGCAATTTACGTGCAGTTATACCATCATACAGACACATAGTTGGACAATCGATAATTTATCGAGTTTCGACCGATAATATTGAAAGCGAAATAGGAAATTATTTAAATGTACAATATACTACAATACTGCCAAATAAAAATAATATAATGGGCGATAATGATTAGCGGTGTAATTTTTTTTTTATGACGTGTTCGAACAAATGTGTACTTTTATTAACCGGTTTTGTTATAAGTTGCACGATCGCGTTAAATATTCTATTTATTATTGTATAGTTTCATGTGTAAGTACCGCATAAATATCCATTTAAATATTGTAATAAATACCCGCGGCGGCGATGATAATTCAATTATTTCGGTGGGTCGTAGGAGTCAAGAAACGATATTATATTTCAATATTGTAAATTGTATGTTTTGTACGACGACACCGGATTTGATACAATTAAAAATAATAATTTGATAATTCAAATAATTTGAATTGAATCCAAATTTTTAAATTTCTATGTAAACTGAACGCCCAAAAAAGAGAAATTGGTGAACTAAACAAATTAAAACGGTAAATTGAGTCGCGTCTAAAATATTTGATGTGGTAAATTAATAATTAATAAATAAGAATAATGAATCATGTATTAAAATAATGTCTAAATAAATAATACCTTTGCATAATAAACAATGAATATTGTCAATAATAACAGTAATGATAAACAATACTGTCAATATTAAACGGGTAAATATTTAAATGAAACAAGATTATCAAAGTCATGTCTACTGGTTTTATTATTATTGTAAAACGCGTCTGTCTGAAACGGCGTACCGATAAATCTGTGGGTGATTAATTGATAAAAGTACACATTTATTTATATTATTAAAAGTATTAAATAAAAACAAACGAACAAACGGACTTCGCACGATGGGTGGACCACTTTTGTAGATAAGAAGTTGAAAAGGTAGAAGAGAATTAATTTAATGTATATCTTATATTTAATGTATGCAACGATTAATCATCGAAAAACTATTCTGAGCGGAGTTTGGTTATACACTTCAGGCCGTGATATATTTACGATTTAAAAAATACATTTCGTAAATTTTCCAATTTTTCCTACGGGTTTTCTCATTTATTATGAAAACCAATTGCGAAATCAAAAAATGACATTTTTTAAATAGCAACTAGAAAAATTTTCTTTCAGGAAAGGCGCTGCACTTTAAAATTGGAGCAAAAATTTCTGGTATAAAAGTTGTTCGCAGAAAAAAATAATAATATTACCAACATTATTGTAAAACCAATATACATTCCTCGCTCCATTCAGAATCTAAAATAACAGTATTTGATCATAGTTCAAATAGAACTCGATTTACCGAATTAATTTTCACAAGAGGGACTCAATTTACCGATTTTGAAAAACGATACATTCGTTAGGGACTCAATTCACCTACGCCCGATAATACGACACTGTCGATACTAAATTATATAATTGTATTTTTCTTCTCGATGCAATAAATACCCATCACTAGTATGAAATCGTTTGACGTGATTAAATTTTAAGACTGACACGTGATGATTAGGTATGTAAAATACCTAAGTATTTGGTGAAGGACTTAAATAATTGTATGGCATTTTTTTTTTTATACATAATTGCATCTTATGTTTTATCCCTTTATTATTTTTTTTATCTTAATCTCATACGTGTATGTATATTGTATATTACTATATTCTAACACATCTTATACTGAAAACAGTGAAAATTAAAATATCTTAAGTCATTACATGATATACTTTTTGTTTGAAAAAATATGCAATGGATATATAATTATAATATACATTATAATTATTTTGTAAGTCATAATATATAATGATTTATAATTATATGGGTTAAGCCATTTAGACTGTGTTTTAGTTGAGCCGTTTACTAATTTAGTAATGTAGCAATTATGCTGATATATCATTTTTCAACATTTCAAAATTTAATTTTTGTTTAATGGAAATTGTATAAAATTGACTAAGGCCGTTCTTCCCTGAGATCAAAGATAAAAGATAATTATTACACCACAAGAGTATAGACGAAATTTCCATTTTTAAATTTGAGGTGATTTTCGCGATACACACTATGTATGTATTTATATACGAGTAAAACGAATAAAAGTTAAATTGATGATAAGTTTTTTTTTAGGGCAATTAGCTTCCTCCTAATCGCACCTATGCACTCGTCTACCAAAATATATATATATATATATATACCTATTACCTATACTTAATTTTTCAATTTTATTTTTTTACTAATACAGTATAAATAGTATAAATATATATATATATATAATGATGGTTTTGACTAACTTACAATAATTATATGGTTTTGGAAAGACAATAGTATTATATAATAACAATGAATTAGTAAAACTAAATAATAATTAGTTAATACAGTTTTATATAAGTATACGATATTTAAATTACCTCGGATATTGTATTATTATATTGTCCACGGACAGTTTCAATAATACAAAACTAGGTAATATCTAACGCAGGTATCAGTTAAACATAATATTATATTATAGTTATATGCCCGTTATATATATTATTACGGGATTATAAGAGTCATTTAAATGTTTAAAATGCTAGAAATTAATTTGGTTATACAAGTATACATTTCCCTTTAAAAATAATATCGATGTACTCGTAAATAAAGCAATTTGTTGGTGGTACCAATTCAAAATGTTTGTTATATACCAGTATAGTTTTTTTGACTGCAACATAGGTCAAATATTTTATACTGGCATTATACCGGATTATAATAATCCTCTTTTCTTAATGTTCCCATCACGATCAGTCCCCTGTTTCATATTCTTATCAAATTATCATAACTTGTATGAATGAATTATTTTCTACATTGTTGTCTCCACAAAATTCAATATTTTGCTTAATATAATCTTTATAAACATCACGATTTTCATTTAAATTGAATGTTAATACATTTAATATTAGATATTTTTTATAGTGCTTCAGATAAAATATTTAAAAAATTAAATGATAAGTGGAACTCATTTTAACAGAGTATATGCTTTTATGAAGTGCTCCCTTTTTATGGGCTAACGCACTTTCAATATACTTGCCGGTTTGGATTTTCGAAAAAAAATCCATAAACATTCTCTGGTTTAAATCATTAATTTTGAAGTGTGAAGTTTTTAACTATTCAGTTTGAATTATCCACTGTGATAACTGATAAGAAATAGTATAGAAAAGTATACTTATGGTAACAAATAAGTATGGACTATAGAGGGGATAACTTTGTACTAACTTCAAGTCAATAAATTTTTTGATATACTGTTATAATTATTGGAATATACCGGTATAATCAAACGAATTTTTAGATGGTTAGTGCTAAATCCAAATGATGCAAATCTTTATGGCTATAACTTGTTTACGAATTTTAATCAAACCAAACAGTTTGACCAACGTTTTGTTTCGGTGTTAACATCAAAACAATCATTATTACGTACACAACTGAGCATTAACTTATGGATTAATGGTATTGATTGATTAAAGATTAACTGGCAATAATTTACTATACGTCAATGTTCAATCACACTCATTTAATAAAAGTCGACTGCAACGATTAATATACATTCGTGTATGCATATTGGTATATCTTAATGACATCTCAATCTTACAATGGCGAAATTGTATAACTTAAAAGTAAAACAAACTTGTAGCGATAACATCGATATTAAAGTTTAATTACAAATAACAAAATTTAAATAATTAAAGCTACCTATTTAAAAAGTTTAAATTAGTTCAAAAACTTATTACAGTAACTTTTTTGAATGACAATTCAATTAGATTCAATTTTTAGAACTTACAACCCTCGAAAATATTCGTCTCTATACTTTTTTTATTTGTGTTTAAATTCCAATTTTAACAAAGTCGTTACATTTCACGTTCCAAGTTTTAGAAAATAATGTATTAGATTAGTAAGTTAAGTAAAATAACTAATAACTCAGATAATATGAATAACTTTATTGCTACTATTGCAGTTTATATAGTTAAATTGTTGCGTTTTACAGGTCACCGTGGTTACGGTATAAAAATAGCGAATAATGTGACGCTGTTGATTTTTCGAAATGCACTGATGTTTAGCGAATAAAAATACAGAAAATGTCGACATTGTTTAAATGAGTGACAAAATATTCTTAGACACTTTTGTATAAACATCATAATATTCTAGTAGAGGACTGTTGTCGAAAATTACAATAAATATTATTCTAACGCGATGAACGTGCACATATTATTATGGTAAATATAAAGAAATGTAAAGAAATTTAGTCCGATTATTCCAAGGGTTATTCAGAATAAAATTATTAGATATTCTCGAATTTTCAACATACAACAAATCATGATAAAAGTACTTGTAAATAAAACTATTACGCGATAACGGTATAATAAATATTAAACATATTTTGCCTATGTAAAAAACAAAAAAAACAAATGTTCAAACGTCAATATAAAAGGTATACAGGTACCTATGCTATGTTTTTTTGAATACGCATGAGTGATATATTATTTAAGTAAATAATTTGTGATTAACAGTTTAAAAATATTACGGTTATGGTGTTTTGAATTTTAGACGAGCATTAATCGTTGATTTCCCATAGTTGTGGATCATTATAATATTATCTGTATAACAAAGAAATATTTACGCCCAAATACAATATGTTTTGCGAGTTAAAAATATTTCAAGAGCATAAAATTGTAGTTAACAAAAACGAATAACATAATTGTAGCGAATTCACTTATCCAAGTGCGTAGCAAGAGGGAAGTGCTTTAGGTGTTAAAACTCCACTCCCCCCTCGGTCATATTTAAGCAAAAATATATAATATACTACTTGCTTTGGATTTCTACAAAATGTGTAGTTCGATTATTTTATTTCATATTTGATATTATTATTTATCATGAAGATTGAAGATATATTATATAATATAATAATATAACCTAACCATATCAACCTAACCATCGATATTGGTTATCTAATGAATATGATCTATGACTCCATGAAAGACGTCTCTCCTACCTCACAAGTTATATTTGAATATGAAATTAAACCACCACCTCTTCGTTTAAAATAAATGTTTAGCTATGCGCCTGCACTCATCGTTAATATTGTTAACAAAGAGATATTTTTTAAAAACTAATAAACCATTATAGTATATTTATGGAGTTTTTCCATAGACACCTATATAGGAGTCTACGGAAAAACTCGTAACACAACATAATACTTTATTATTATTATAAAACCATTATTTTATATTTTTATACAAACTCGGGGTCATCTGAAATTTAATATCCAAAAATGGTAATCGGCTATACAGAAAATTACGTAATTTAGGTACCATTGTTTTGTAATCGAAAACTTTCAACGACCTTGTGTACTGTGTATACTGTATACAGTAACTATATATATAATATAAATATAGGTACGTACAATAATCTTCTTATATATAAAAGTCGTGAACCGTCTGTAACGCTCTTTCTCATGTACTCGTGTACTCTTAAATTGTGGCGTTTAGGTGTAAATTGGAGTTTAAACACAAATAACGCGGTTTAAAGAGGAGAATATTATCAAAAATATAAGTTTTTCAAGAAAAAAATAAACAATCATATTTGCATCTATTTTAAAAATAATTTTAATTTATTAAATTTTGACGTAGGTAAATTATTACATAACGATACATTATCGTCAGTTGATCTTTAATCGTTAAATATCATTTATATTATAAATTATTTATCTACAAATCAATATGTAACGAAATACAACTTTGGTTAAAACTTTTCATTAAAATTAGTATGTGAAAAAGTTGTTGTCAAAAAAAATTTATCGAATTTCGATTTAGCACTAGTCGTTTTAAACTATCTGTTCGATGACAGTTATAATCCGTCGTATATGACGGCGTACAACTAGTAATATTACGAATATATTGTAGGCATATCTACATAATTTAAGTACATTATTTTATTTGTAGACGTTATTATTATATACACGTCGGGCCACTAAAGTTATAGTTAACGAAAATTTAGGAGGGTTTCATCATAGGGACAAGTCTTCAAATTTTTTTTATTCATTGTTTTATTTATTCATAAAAATGTCACGCTAATAGGGTTTAAAAATAAAATGCATCCCCTCCCCTAAAATAATATATAATAATATTATTATCCTGCTCATATGCCTGTTCAATAAAAATAAATTAAAATAGAGTCTAATTACGCATAATCTACTAGGTATTAAAGAATATACTTTAAATTAAACTTTTTCAAATTTTAAAAAAAGTCTTATTGACAATAACTAAAGCGTCCCCCTAGACTTCAAAGAATTAAACTATAAAGATGACTGATAACTTTACCTTAAATAATAAGGAAAACTCTGTTTCCCCACTTTAACCATTATACCCAACTACTATACGTAAGCAAGCAGTTTAAATAAAGAAAAACAAAGGTGTTTACATTTATTGTTATTACTTGGACGTGAAATAATTTTTTCGGTCGTATAATAATAACCCCCTTCTCCCTCATGATAAAAATAAATACTGATGATGTTTGATACGTATATATAGCGCAGCTCGTGAATGCACACGTCTAAACATTTAAGTTTTTGAGTATTATTAGTTATAAATTTAATTTGTAAACCGACTATAATAATCTGAATAGTTACAGCCATCATTCTAGAAATAATAGACTTGGCATATTTGTCCGCTAAAAGTTTGTAGAAAAACGCTTAACTGTCTAAATTGCACGCGGAAAATTACACAACTTAACAACATGTTTACGCATTTACCAATACAATTAGGTAACCGCTATAAAACGTGAAATCTAAATCTACAATTAATTTATATTTAAACCGATTGAATTAGAACCAAATCGTTACACAATAATTGACCGATTGACCGACTCCGGGTGTAGATACGCATATAGATTATAATTTAAACAACCGAGATTTTGGTGTAACTTGGTATTTTTTTTTAAAAATAAAGTACTTTCCATATTTACGACTCCGGTATTCTGAAAAAAAATAACAATAATAGTTGTAGAAAAGTCCACATATCTACTTAATTCAATAATAACAATAATGCTATAACACTACGTCAGTAAATACTCAAGTACCTATATCTCCTACACCTAACCGTTTTTTAGTTGCTGAAACAAAATTGAATTATGTGTACCTAAACATTTTGATAAATTGCTTCACGACGATGGTAAAGGTGTACGTAATCAAATACAATTAGTCTATAATCCGCGCGCGAAGGAGTTCAAAGAGTGAAAAATAATTATCATTACGGTACATATTGTATAACAGTAAAACACTTTGATCCCTGCATTATGATTTAATAATACGCAGGTAATATGTGTACATTATAGAGAAAACCGTCGATCGCGTCAAGATCAAGGTCTCTGGGTTTACGGAAAAATGAAGTTTTTTCTGAAAAAAAAAGAAAAAATGTCAATGAAAAATAACGAGGATTTGTTGAAACGAAACGTTCTCAGGGGGCTCAGGAAGCTCGGACGGTAAAAAGAAAGAAAAAAAAATTATACAAAGGGTTTGGGTTCTATTCCTTCCCCTCCACTCCGCTGTATTTACACAGAAAAGAGAGAACGCCCTCGTATGCGATCCGTTCTTACGGGCAATTATTTTTTTTTCCACCCCTCCCCGCCGCGATACGCCGTAAAGACAAAAGAGGTGATCTGATCTCCGTTTCCACACGTCCGCCCGCGGTCCGGGCGGCGTGACCGCAAAAAACCGTAAAAACCCGTATCGACTACCCGCGGATTCATACCGCACGCGTTTCCTCGTCCCCGAATCGTATCGCGTTACGGCGTCGCCCCCTTCCCCTCCCCTCGCCGCGCTCCGCTCCCCCGACGGCTCCGCGTGTTTACACGGGTGCAACACGTCTACTTGTCACACGCGCGTTCGAAGCGTACGGAGTGATGCACGACAGACGTCGCGTTTTGTTATTCGTGCGCAATCGATGCAATTACACGCCGCTGCGCGATAAAAGTGTACAATGTGTATTATTGTAATCCGACAAAGACGCGCGCGCGCACGGGCGCGCGCGGTGCAATTGATACGATGATTACGGTGAACCGTATTTAATATTATTATTATTATTCGTATAATATTCGCTGTTCTCCGAACCGTATCGACTTCGAGAGAGAAAAAAAAAAAAAAATTAATAAATTATAAAAACGTTTCTTCGCGCTACACACAACGCGCTGTAACAACAATATTACGTATCGTCCGGACGGAGTGGGGGAAAAACAGCAAAAAAAAAAAAACCCCTCGGCACGCGCGTTTCATCAAAAACGATAGTCGAGACAGTGGTCTAGGTACAACGACAATCACACGAAATATAACACCACGCCGGGTACGAGCGTACGAGTGCGTACACAATAATATTATCGAAAAAAACGGTTTTTCGAAAACGACACGACGGACGCATTTTTGCGTTTTTTTTTTATTTTCCTCCGAAATACCGCGGACAAGTAACCGCGTGCCGGTGACGCCCGGTGTAAAAACGCCGTGCGTAAACGTTGAAACTATAATAATATATTAGTTATATTACGTAACGATTATTTTATGATCGGAGATTCAAAGACCCTACAATAATAGCACATTATTGCGCACTTGCGACGCGAGATGCGAAGCATATTGTAATTACGTCATACACGCTGCATTGTTTGATCTTTAAAACAGTACAATATAAATACACAATTGTAATTGTACCGTTGTAATATTGCCAACGGGACGTGCGTACGCAGAGACGGGCAACGGGATTCACCGACGGTTTTGCAAATGGACGCCGAGGATGCGTCACGGAATTCTATTTGATTTCGATTTTTTAACACGCGTGAGCGCAATGCTGAAAAAATATACCGAAGGTCCGACGATAACGGGCGAGGTTGGGATAGTAATTTAGCCGGGTGTAGACCGTGAAATTATGCGAGCGCGAATTTTCGACAGAACTGCGAATTCGGACAAATATTATACAACACGGTGGTAACCCATACCTTATGGGCAATGCATTTTTTCGGCCGACGGGCAACCACTGTACCAACGATCGACCAATATTGACAAACAATCAAATTATATCAGCCGTAATTGCAGCGGTTGCCGAATTGAAAATAACGGCATATTATCCAGACATCTAGGCGAGGGAGACCGTAATGAAAACCACGCGATTTCAACACGATAATAATATAGTAACCTATCTGTTACAGCGATAGCACAACGGTGCAACTTTATTCGTTCTTACGGGTGAGTAGGTGGGGGGAAAAAAAATGAGAAAAACCTGTCGTTATTTTCCAATGTCTAAAAGCCATACCTACCCGCGTGTACCCACAATACGCGTATGATAAAATTATCAAGTACCTAGGTACGCCTATAGGTGTATTATACTAATAGCGTTATATTGTTTACTTACAATTTGTGTTTTCATAGCTTTTCGGGCACATAGTTTTGTATTATTAGTCCGATATTGGTTTAAACAACACGAAAAGTGACACCTGTATTATATTATCGTAATTATTATTATACGATCAAAATCTAACTGGTATATTTATTTACGTATAAGTATTTAATTAAATAATAATAATAATAATAAATATTCTTTTAAATTCACTGGGTATTTAGATATTATTATGTTAAATTTTTTTTTTTTTTTTTTTAAATATATATTTTTACTGCTATACGTCACGGTCAGAGCGAAAACAAAATGGATACGAACGACACGAGTTGACTTGTACAATGTTACAATTATTATGAGAACACGGTATTTAGAAAAAAAAAAAAAAAATACTGGAAAAATAAATATACAAGCGTATAATATGAAACGACTACGATCGCGGGACAAACGTAAACGTGACACAGCGAACGCCAACGGCCAACTGGTTCGTCGTGGAACGATTACATTCTCGGCCGAGCAAAAATTGAAATTATCATTCTGCTCGGTCGAGTATAGCGGAAAACTAGCGGTTCGCAGACGCCGGGCACGTACTGCTGGCGCTGCCCGCGGCCAATTGTCGCATTAGAACCTCCGCGATCACGACCCCCGTCTGATCGTGTTGACCGTCCGTCCAGTGTTATAAAACAAACAACAAAAATTATAAAATGTGTGTAAATGAAAGATATATATATATTATGTATAAACATATTATATCTTTATAAAATATTAAAGGTAAATAAGTAAATATAATATATTACATATTATTTATTTATTTATTTATTTACATTTATTTATCTTTAGATATGTATATTTACATTTATACATAATATTGAAGAATACAGGGAAAAAACCCAGTCAATTTATATTTTATAACCAAGTAAGTGTTGGGTTAATACACGGCTATAGCCTTGGTTAATAATATAATATAGCATTATTATGTTGTGGTTACTACATTTCAAAGTTTTAAACATAATCCGAACTTTTTACTTTGTAAAAAAAATTGATACATTTTTAAATTAAAAACGCGTTTTCTCAGTTTGAAAAAAGTGACTTTTCTGGTTTTTTCCCTGTGGCCTTCATAAATACATAAAAAACCTAAAACCGATTTGAAATCTTGGATCTGCAGGTTAATGCATTAAAGAGATTATTTTTTGATTTTCCTTGTAATTTTCATAATAATCGAAAAACTCCAAAAAAAAAAAAAAAAAATTGGAAAGTATACAGCATTAACGGTTTCAGTACAATTATTATTTTAAATTCGAAGGGTGGGCGGTTTGCGTTTGGGCAAATTTGTAAAAATTGCATTACGTTTGGGTAACTTTCTACAATGCGCTTGGGCGAGTGATTTTAAAATATTTTAATTTATTTGGGCTAACCATTTTCTTTCTCGTTTCGACAGACTTAGGACTGTTTTTAAATTACACGAAAATGAATAAACATTTTCAACCAAAATGCACCGTGTATTTCGTATTATGATTCATATTTAGAACACGACTCGAACAAAAACGGGAGATCGATTTTGTTTTTTTAAATATATGTATAACCACTGAAAAACAAAGTCGTTTTTAGATGATCTAAAGTATTTTTCACAGTTATTGGGAAAAACCAAAAAAGACGAAAACTAAGATTTATTTTTCAAATTTCGGCGCAATGATTTTATTTTTTCAAATTTTTAGGGTTTATGTTTTAAATATTACTCCAATAGAAAAATTACCAGAGCTTTTTTTATTGAATTTTCAATCTAGTTGGTAAGTAAGTAAGTCGTTTCATAGAAAGAACCAGAAAATTTACAATAATAATTCTTTTATTATTGTAAAATTTGGTTTTTAAATGTAATTCAGATAAAAATATCCGTTAACGAGGAATTTTAATAAAAAACTTATATTATTTTTTCTAGACGTGGTAAAACTTTCAAAACATTAAAGTTATTTTTGAGCTATTTATAGGCATTAAAATGTTTGCGAGTTTTTTTACATAATTTCAATTACTTGATACTTCATGGACAAAATTATTAGACTAAAACGAAATGCATGCAAATTTGACAGGAGGTACATTATAAGTCGAACTTAGTGAACAAAAAAATAAAAAATTGGTATTATGTAGTATTTTTTTTTTTTTATACATATTTTAAAATCAATTTGTATCAAGTTGTAGCTCGGTTAAAAATAATTTTAGAAATTTAAAATGTTTACCTAATACTAATATTAGACTTTTTTTCTAAACGTGATAAAATTTTCAGAGGTTACGGCTTATAAGGTTTTGATATTTTTGAGTTTATGTAATTTTTATTTAATTTTAAGTGAATAAAATTATTCAGCCGAACAAAAATACTTGGTAATTCAATACGAGGTTCACAATTGTACTTATATAGTGTTTCAAATTTTTGGAGGGGAGAGGGTTATTATAACCCTCATTCCCCCTTTGGTGTATCAACTGATTATGGTAAAAATAATTATCAATACAATTTTGTGATGACAGATGTTGATTACTTCGATTTATTACAATCAAAATTTGTAAAACACAATTTGAAACAATTTTTGAATTTTGATTATTATTTACACATTAAAATAATAGTAAAATTACATTTTTTGTATTCGATTTTAAAACTTTGTGATACGCTGTAAATACAAAACTCATGTACTTCTAGTCTGATTTCAGAGCGCATATTTGTGTCAAATTGAAAATTCTAAAAAAAAAAAGTTGAGCGTATTTAATAGTTTTTTAAGAGTGTTTTAAGTTTAAATTTGACGAAAATCGTAAAATTACTGAATTTCAAAACAAATACAACCAAAATTCGTTCAGAATTTGATAGCTTTTTCATTGATTTATTGTTGCTTACAAATATAAATTAATAAACGTTATGCATCCTACTTGAACAACTTACCAGTTAAAACGATGCACACCCATCAACAGTATTAGCTCTTTTTTATAAGTTAAAAACATATAACATTATAATATAACTAAAACTATAAATTAAAAGTAAAGTATAAATAATTTGAACAAATTATACAATAGTTCAATTTATTTAAAATTATACTTACAAGGGAAATATCGAGCTGTATACCGGTGATTTTGGGCTAAACCTAAAAATAAAAATAATTGTTTATCATTTAAATTTAAAATAGCTTGAAAAAGAAAAGAACATTGAAAATACATACTTAGGTCTTATCGGTGAATATAAAGTATGAGAATATCTACGTTTCTTATTACGCCTATTTTCGTTCATCCTGTTGCAATTATTGTCGTCGTCCAATGCCAATTTAACCAAGGGTCTTCAACCTACAGCTTTCTTGATGGTTATAGCTCGACCAGCTTTTCAAACCAGCCCACCAAGTTAACTGATGTTTTGAAAATAAATAAGTCTTCAAATTATCAATTTCCTACCAAAATAGAAATAATAATGTTTTAAATAATAAAATTAAAGGCTTTTCGTTGAATTTTTAAGTATACTTCTTTTGGTTTTTTTTTTTTTTTTAAATTAACGCGTATTTAAAGTTTTCAATCTTACACATTTTTCTAGAAATTACCCACAATCCTTTCCCATTGGAAATTCCACGCCACTGGTTGAAATATGGTCATTTGTAGTTTTAAAAATTAAAATTACACCTGTGTGAGCTATATAAGGTACGTTATAATGCAAAGCACCGGTATAAATAGACCATTAATAAAAAAAAACCTATTGTTTTAAAATTACAATGTTTTATTAAATACATTTTATCAAGGTTCGAAACTTATAACATTTTACTTTTTTCTTTTTTGACTTGTCATTAAATTTAGCAGAATTTTATGAAAAGTTATGTCACGTAAACCACTTACAAAACTCATATGGTTTTGCGGCAGTTATTTTTAAATAATTCCGCATTTGTATTCTATTATCTAAATCGTATATCCTTATTTGTATTTTGTTATCTACACACACTGTCGTTTCGATCGTCGCTGGGCATGGAGCAATACAAATTCACAAGTGAAAATTAAAGACGTTGAATTTAACAAGCTTTTTTTTTGCTTATTTGTATAGTTTAAACAAAATTATTACAAATTTTATTTTGCTCTTTTATGTATTTCAGGTCTATAATCAAATTTTCCAAGCGTTTTTTTTTCTGGTTTATTTTAAGTGCTATACGTCTCGACTCCTGTTTATGATAAACCTGCAGTTTCGACACTTTATCGAAAGATTTTTTTTTCGTTTCATCGTTAAAACAATAATTCCTATACGTAATTTAATATTTTCAGGTGTAATATATTACATAAAATAAATTGAAATATATATATAATATAACCTATACAACATGATAAAAATAATATAGTACCTACAGGTCAGTAGTCATGACTAATGACCCGAAAGTTCACAAAAGATTCGTATAGGTCACCAACACACTCGGTACGAATGCCAATTCCAGAACAGTTTTAAGTTCATTATATTGTATAGATTTATCGCGTGATCGTACCCGTATTTTATATTTTGTACACGACATACGTTGTACGGTTCGTCAACTCACGTGTGCGATTAAATACTACCTACCTTATATACTAGATTATGTAGTGTACATATACACATTTTCAAAATACACGCACTTATGCAATTTAAATCAAAAAATAATGGAAATAAATGATAAGAATATTGTCATCTATCTCAATGCAATTTTTGATGTCTGTTTTTTAGAGGAGTTGATCGAGTATTTGACTGTTTTATTAAAAAAAGAATAAAAGTAACAATTAGGTATCTATAACTAACTTCAAACCCAATTTCTAATAAAATTACTGTGGATAATTTCATAAAGATATTTTCGATTGCGTATAAAATTGTGTAATAGAGTTGAGCAATCGTAACAAACATGTGCCAATCACGCGAATAACTGTAACATATTTACCTACCTACCTAATACGCGCACGAACGTTAACATTTATCCAAATCCGAAATTTCCAATTTATCATCATTTAAAATTGTTCGGCATATACGAGTAGTTAGACATAAAATATCAAATGTTAATGGTCGAAAAAATATTGTGTCAATCATCGACGTGACAAGTTATGAGTTAGGTACATTTAGAACAAATCATTCAAAAAGATGTCTTAATACTACACAGATTAAAAAAAAAGAGCTGGAAACGGATACGGCCACTGTTGTAGATTAGTAGTAGGGAAGGTGGGATACATAATGTTATTTAATTTATACTTGTAATCAACGATAAACCAACTCCTCTATAAAAAATTTCTGGGTACGTCTCTATTTGTAATGATAACAACGTCAACAGTATTAAATTAACTGAATAGGTATTTGACTTTAAAGTATAACATACAAAATATGTTATAATAATAGTATGACTGTAAATATTATCTACCATTAGAACCATTTTAAACAATAAATTATAATAAAAAAATATTTTAATATATATTTAATTAGTTTAATTAAATCGTTACTTATTGTTTTACATGTTGTATAATTTTCTAACGACAATATTATCACAACATTGATTACATACATTGTATAAATCGCAGTAATCCGCTTAAATATTTTATCAGTAATATAATATAATATGATACGTATAATAATAAATTATGATCTTACAGTTACTTATATTTACGTTAGATGTCATTTAAATAATACTTATGTATCATAGGTGAACGCAGAGGGTATGCAAGGTATGCAGCTGCATACCCTGAACGCTAGGCTTGGATTAAGGGGGGGAATAGGGGGCTACATTCCCAAGGTCCTCAAAAACCATTTTATGAGTGAAATAAAATATTTGCAAAATATGTACGTTTTATGTTGTAATTCAATTTGAATTTTAAGTAAATATTACATTTTTAATTAAACAGTTGGTAAGACATTTCAATATTTATGTATATTTTTTTTATCAGAGTTTTACGAGCTTAAAAGAACATTCAGATGCGCTTGAGGCAGCCTTCTGCATACCCTGAAAAAGAAACCTACGCACGCCTATGATGTATTTAATATATACGTCATTATCTATTGATGGTGTACCTATACATTGTAGCTAATAACCTACAATATATACAATGTATAGGTGCAATATAATAATAATTAATTTTAGCATATTTGATTTATTATTTATGAAATACGAAATGAGATATCAATGTATAATTTACATTGATTGAATTTATTTTTTATGTTTATTTTAGAATTTGAATAAGGTTATCAAAATTATCGCATTATTATTTTATTGTTATTGCGATCGAGTACCATCTAGCGGCGCCAAACACATATTTTAGATAGCTGGTGGTATGTATAAACAAGTATATTAATGGTTTATTTTAAATTTTGGACTTTAAGATAATTATAGTCCTTATCATTATTGATATGATTATTTCAATATATTTTAGTTACTACACCTCGTCTTACTAGGTACTCGAGAGTATTTGGAAGAAGTAATTAGAACTTTAGGTAAAAAAACTTGGTTTCATACAATCATGTATCCGAGATTGGGTGGTATGCGATATGTGTTGGAAGTGTTTAGCTAAATATATACTGTATATATACGTGATTATGATTGCGTGATTTGTAATTAGACAATTTCCGTCAGTTGGTGTTTAGTAGTAAATCAAAATGGACAAGTTTATGCTGTGTTATATTTCGGAGGATGAAGTATTGATGAAAAATTATTGCTCTTGTAAATTACTTTAAAAATGAAAAGGATGAAATTTTTAGTGAATATAACAGAGGAGGTTATAATAATTAAAAACGCCTAATTGAAAATGAAACTCGTTTTAGAGTATATTTTAAAGTAGGTATCATTTCTATTATTTAATTATATACTAAATTTTATTTAAAAAAACACACGAAGACGTCCAAGTAACCGGATTAAGAAATCAATATCACCAGAAAAAAACTAAATATCGTTCTAAATAAATAAAATTATTATTATACTATAGTTACCTATATTTGTTAAAATAAGAAAGAAACAGAAAATTATACGATAAATTGTTATCAAACAAATTCATACATTATTCAATAATTATCATTGGAAAAAAGTTATTCCTGGGCACAGTGGAACCGAACCATGTTTTAAAAAGGTGGGCAGGTAAAAAGTTTTATAGACCACCACCCTCATTTAAAAAACAAACTCTCATACTGGCCATGCAACACTCTTAATTAATATTCTATACATACCAATTCAATAAAAAATATAGCTCAGGTATCCATCAAGGATCCACCACCACCCAATCATTAAAAGAACTGCTGGTTTTGGCGCCACTGCCTGGGGACAAGTTACATGAATGCAAAAAATGTTAAATAGTGCAATTAAATTTAAAAATAGAATGTTGAAATTTACACCATATTATAACATGCAGATTTAATTTTAATAACAGTGTATGAACAATATTTATCATATATATTAAATATTTAAATCTTAAAATTAATTTGCAAACTTTATATTTAATAGATACAAATTATTACAATACATTTCTAAAATAATACAATTTAATTAAATACTTTATAATAAACCAAACTTTATACATTTTTTTCTAAAACATTAAACTAAATACTTAACTTCACCTTGTCATTTTCAAACAATAAAATAATGAAAACAAATCGTTCATACTATATAATGAAATAAAAACTTGTAAATTTATTTGAAAAATAAAATCAATAATATTTTAGTTTTAAAATTAAATAAAAAATTAATATTCATCAAGATATTGTAAATAAGAAAAATTGGCGTTTTAAACTGGAATAGTGCATTAATTACTCTGAATTACTTGATATTAGAGTTGAACGCGAAGATTCTTCTTCGCTAAATATTGTAGGAACTTGATCTGCTGACGTTGACGATGTTAATGTCATTGGTTTTACAGATGTTGTATTCATATTAACTTTTGCCTTTAGTAAGCGTAATTCCATTTCGGAAATAATATTGAAAACTTTCATTTTTGCTTCTACAGCTAATTCTGGGGGAAATGTCGAAACCGTTAGAGCCATACTTTTAAAAAAAAATTGAATTGAATCATTGCATTCATATTTTCTCATTTCTCTTAACGCCATCAATGGTGCCTCTCGTCTTTTCTTTATTTCATCTAATATCTTATCTTGTGTTCTTGGTATTGTTTGTTTTTTTCTAAATGCATCCAACAAACTATGATTTATTTCTTTTGTCAGTAGTTGATCATCAATCGGCGTATTTATCTTTAATAAAATTGATTCAGAATTTTCAAGTAACAATGTCTTTGGTTCGGTTTCCTCAGTTTGATTAAAACTTTCATTTTCGGTCATTTCTGAGTAGTTTATGCTGTCATTGCAGGCTATTTTATCCATCAAAATGTTAGATGTAGTTCTGAAAATAATGAAGTATCATAGAACTTAAAACCATAAAAATCTATTGATTTTTACAACGATTTGTGTTTTTTTTCGTGTAAAATTAGTTTTTGCTTTTACCTTCTTTCGTCTTCGATGTTATCTAAAAAATTTAATGAATCGTCGTTGTATTTAGATTTTGTTGTAGCTGCTGAACCAGTTCCTAATTTTCTTTTTTTCAAATTTTTTTTATATGAATCTCTAATTGTACGCCACCGAGTTTTGCAATCATTTACTGAAAATAATTACAGTGTATTATTTACATTTTACAGATTTTTAGCAACCGGAGAGGGTTTTAGGTCCCTTTCATTTAAATTTAGAATATCTCGTAGCTAGATGAATATGATTATGAGAAAATTCCTAGTAACTAATTGTCGTCGATTAATAACATAGTAATACCTGAACCAACGAAATGTATTTTAACGAAAATACCTAGCTAAGATTTCTATGAAATGTGGAATTTTCCGAACTGTTGCGGCGCCATAGACGAGAATAATATACGGATCATTTTCCATAAAAACTCTGGGTCTATGTTTTTTAATTATAAATTATTTGTATCCATTGTGCTATTGGCGTTAGTTGACGCAAATAACAAATTTTTGGTGGTTTTCATAGGGTCATATGGAAACGAAGGTTGTGCGAGAATTTTCGTTAAATCGAATCTGGGCAAATCAATATCAACCGAAGAATTCAAACTTCCAGAACCAACATTTTTACCAAATACTGATGTAATCTTGTCTTATGTTTTGGCTTATTTACGGTGACGAAGCATTTAAATTAACGGAGGCTTCATTGAAATTAAATCCAAAAAGACATTTTTAACTACCGCTTAAGTAGAATACTAAGAACAACTGAAAATATGTCTGAGGTATAGTGTATCAATACTTCTGAGTATTGTATTCGCCAAATAATATTCTTTTTGAGACTTAATAATGACCCAAAAAACAGCCCAAGCAAACGATATAAGACACCGAACTCCATGGATACCAACTGGCACCAAGTAGACTGAAATCTAGAAAAAACTTTCTAAAATCAACTTCGATGCTCAGAACATCCCTTGACCATGAACGACTTCTGAAAATGTATATCATTGAATCGAACCAGAGACTTCAAAATAAAATCATTGAAAAAATCTCCCATCCGGATACTCCAACGAATGAAACACCTGGAAAACACCCAATAGATTAAGGAGGAGTTGTCCGAACAAGGGAAAACCTGCATAAATGGGGATACAGTGTAAAAACCGTAGACTGCGACTGTGGAAGTAAACAAACGGAACAACATATACTAATATGCCCCCTAAACACAGTACCGTATATAACTGAAGACGAAGAAAATGCAACAGACGCGTATTAGCCTCATGTATTTTCTATAATTTATTACGTGATGAAAGAATGGTGTATCCTACGGATTAGAGAGACAGAGATCCCATAACAGACACTTTGTTGCAATTGGAAGAAATGCAACATAGTTGGATGCAACAGTTAGAATCAGGGAAACTTTCAAAGATTATTTTAACTCTAGGTCTGAATCAGTGAGCTGGTAGCAAAAACATATGACTAATACTAAAATGAGATAATGTTATTGAATGTATTGGGTTATTTGCAAAAAATACTAGAAATCCAAATTTAATTTAATTTGTTTTTCATAATATTCAATTTAGTATTATTTTATTTAAGACGAAGCTTATTTTAAGTAATTATTTTTATTTATTTAATCACCTATTATATTATTTTCTTTAAAAACAAACTTTAAAATATAAATAGTTAAAATGTGCATTTTTAACTGTTATCCTTTAAATATTTAGTGTAATAAATTGTTAACCACGCGACAATACTGAATTATTTGAGCAAGTATTTATAAATTATAATTTTTTAACTACAGAAACATTCTGTATTATTAGAAATATAAATAGACTCCTACTAAATTATTTATTTTTTGAAATTATATTCTGTAAAGTAAAGAAAGGTATATCCGTGATATAGGTAACTTTTTGATATTTCTTTCAGCGTTTGTAACTAACATAGTATTTGCCGGTAAACATCCGAATAGTGTCAAATGTTTCATGAGTAATGAGGTACTACTGTCGGTTGATATACAATCGACGAGTGCATACGGTACGTTAGCTGTTTACTATCAGTTTATACAATTCTTATCGTTATTAGAGACATGCTACTTATGCGTTTTTTATTGTAGTCATTATGCAACTAGAAAACATGTTTAATTTAATGATATGTATGATTTTTGATTTTTAATTGACTGTTAATAAATAATTAACGCAGACGTGCACTTTTTTAATGTTTTTAACAATGTTATTTTTATTAAATAAAATGAACATCAAAAATCGTTTTAACTACAATATAGCCAATCACGAAATTACCTACTATAACGAAATTATATACCTCTACCTTATTTACTTTATAAGTAAATCTAAATATTTAGTAACTCTGTTATCTACATTAAATTGTATTACTATAAATTTCAAATTGCTGAGATTTTTTTTCATGTTATAAGTGCTTCTTTTAAAAAATAATTTTTTGAATGAATTGTCGTGTACACCCGAGATAACCTTACCACTATCACGAAATTAATTGACTTTTCTCCGTAACTTTTGAACTGTTATGGAAACAAATTAAAAGTTACAAAATCCAATATATGTATTCAAATTTGTTTACTCTATGCCCATCAATTAATTATATTAATAAGGTATAATTATTAAAATTGAATATGTAATTATATATTTCAAAAATTTCACGGATGTACCTTTCTTTACCTTAGAGGTAAATTTTCTTGATATAATTCTAAATATAACTCTTGTCTTATATTCATTATTCAAGAAAAAATAATTTGTGTTACAGATCATAATAAAATACATGTGAAATACAAATAATTAAAAATATTTCTTACTACCTACTTACTATACAGTTTTCATAAATTTACCTAATAATATTACATACCGTTTTTACCAATGGAGTGTGCAATTTCTTTCCAAACGTTCTCTTTGACGCAATTATCTTTATAATTTTTGTCATTCAATTTATACAAAACAGAATGATTCCGAACCATATCAATTAATTTTTTGTCATCTATCGCATTAAATGATTTGGATTCCATAGTTTTCCTAAAACTAATTTAAAACCAATACATTCTTCACTACACTCAGAATCTAAAAAAAACTTATTAATTGTAACATATACGTATTTAATAAGTAGGTAATATTTAAAAATGATACTTACCTACCGTTTAATTCGACTTTGAAATAATTATATGAAAGTATTAGTATATTATATATAGTTTATTATATTAATAAAGAATCAATATTAAAAATATTACTAATAACCACGCACTGCGTATCACGCAAATGTTGCCCTCATGGCAACTGTTGCGCGACTGACTCTAGCAAAGCCTTAGTTTTCTACAATCACGCGTCCATGAATGCGTGGGGCGCAATGCGCGATCACGCAAAATATGAAGTAAAACAATAATAGTGTTTTGTAATAATTCACGCGTGTGAATCACGTCACGGCGCCAGCATGCAAAATTTACGTGACACGAACAGAATGAAAAATGAAAATTACAAGAGCTCATTAAAAAAAAAAATATATAGGTGAAGTTTTCCAAAAATATGTTTTAGTCCATGATAGTTGCTACTTGCTATAAAAATAATAATATATATGTTTATATGTTAGATATACGTATCTGGTAATAGTATAATACATAGAAAAGAAGAACAGTTTATACATTAGTATCCTAGCCAGAAAAAGTTTAAAAAATTATTTCTTAGTGCACCCTTACATGGTGGTACGAAGGTACCATACACATTTCAAGTCTACAGCGTAATAAACTTGATCAGTCAGCCAGGATACGTTCAATTAAATATACAGAGTAATTTACTAAGCGTGCTCACAGTACTCTCTCCCTACCTAAACTCAAAATTTAAATATCTCAACGGGTTGACGGAAATCAAAAATATTGGCACCAAAATGTATTTAAAATAATACTTCGTCTGTTTATGAAATTTTTAATATAGGTTCTCATATGGAAAATCAAAGTTGGTATCACTACAGGATACTGCATAAATATTTTGAAAAATCTTGTATTCAAAAATATCGGCTTTAACTACATTTAATAATTCCAAAAATCAGAATTTGAATGTATTCAAAATTTAACCAAAACAATTGGGTAAGCACGCATAATGAATCACCCTTTTACATATTATATAGATAGAAGGTGTAACAGTTTGTGAATTCATTCCATTTTGTTCAACTGTCTGACATTAACTGATCAACATTCAATTCCACAGTGATAATCGCATATAATGTGGCAAAACACCTATATCACGCTGAAACCAAAGCTTGAATCGACAATCTCGCGAATAACAATTCACGCGCGTGAATTATTAATAAACACAAACCAATGTTTACCCAGACATTTTTTATGGGAGGGGGTCTATCAAATTTATTTTATTTGTTCTTTAATAATTATAATTATAGTTAAATTCATAGCCAATCGATTACTGTTAATAACACTAATAATAGTTAAACACACACAGCGTCACACACTTTTTTAATTATTAATATAAAAAAACTAAACTTCATAATAACACGTTGTTCAGAAATCATTTTTTGGATGACTTATGTTTCGGTTTGTTTCATGTTTTTAAATCGAATTATTAAATTTTATTATTAAGTACACAAAAGGCCAATTATGTATTCCATGAGCTCGTCGATTCGTAATTACTATTAAACGATGTAAATGATCCCGTTTTTACTTATAGAAAATGTTAATTAAAAAAAATAAAACATGATCTAAAATTAAAATGCAGACTGAGTTTCAAAAACAATATTTGTTTTTCTTATTGAAGAAAATAACGCATTTAATAGCTTAATGTGCATATAATAGATATTATAATTATTAAGATTGTATTTTAATAATAATTGCAGCATATCTAAAATTAAGTACCACCTACTTATAGAAAATCATTAAATGATAATATTATGTGAGAAGAGAACATCAATGTGGGGCAGGCAATGCCTTGGGGCCCCAGATCTCGGGGGGGCCTCGGACAATATTCTGAAATTACTTCCTTAAAATACTTGAAATTTTGATGTATTTAATGGCAATAAATGTTTTAAATCTTACATGGTAATTCCAGCAACAATCAGTATTTAATAAATAGAATAATAATGCATAATAGGTAATGAACGGTGTTCACCAAACTCATAGTTATAATTTATTTAATATAACAAACTGTATAGTAAACTGGTTTTACTTTTACTTTGTTTATTTATTAATTATCTGTTTATGATTTTCATATTTTTTTGGTTTCATTGTAATTATTTACATTTAAAAAATACAATGCTACGTGTAGGTATATTTAGAATTTTCATAAAAATTATATTAGTTATAGAGGATCTAGTTTATTATTCGCCCCGGGGTCCTTTTCCATCTAGCTACGCTACTGGATAGAACTAATTATGTTGTATGGTAGACAGGCAAATAGAACAAGAATAAATGTGACAGAAATAATAATGTCTAGGTGGATGAATCGAGTGACAAGAGAAGATAGGATAAGGATTAAGGAATCAGTACATAATAGGTAGCTTAGGCGTAATTTAAGTAATAGATAAAATGAAAGAAATATATTTGATGGTTTGGAGATGTCACGGGGAGAGAGACAGAGAGATCTGAAGTTGTAAGAACTGTCATAAAAATACATTTAGGTTGTTAGGTTTTGTTAACACAACAAATTTTTGTTTTGTTATAAAAAATTGTTTTTAATAAGTTAGAGCCATTGGAGGGGGACTTTTAACCCCTCTACCAATTTTGCTTTTCAATATTATTGAGCTATTTTGTGACATTTTTAAGTGCTTTCTTGTGGATTTTAAATGCATATTCCCTAGCCCTGCTCAAAACCTATCACTATAATTTGTAGAGGCGACGTAGTATCATTGGAAAAAACGATTCGCAAATAAATGATTAATCGAAATTTTCAATAAATTATTTATAAGATTAATCGATCATAAAAAAAAAAAAAAAAAAATCAAGCAGAATATGATATTCGCAATACAAAAAGACGTCCTAGGATAATAGAGATGGATCCAACGATAAACCATTACTAATAAAATAACGATTCTCAACGCAATTCAGTTAATAGTGATGCTTTTTTAATAATATATAAGTCATATTATAGTCAAATAATAAAATAGGCACTACATATTTTCTTTAATAATATTTATTTAATATTGTGCCAATTTTCCCGTTTTTCCTGGTTTTCTATATTTTTCGCATTTGCTGGGAAAACTCTTGGAAAAACCGAATAATGACTTCCCTAAAGTACCTCCCCAGTCAGATTTCCTTTTAGAAAAAGTGATACCATTGTAAATCGGAGCAAAATTGTTAGTAAAAATTTTGTCTACAGAAAAAAAAATCGTTATATTTTACTAATAAATTTTGTATATTTTCCTGTTTTTCACAATTTTTCCCATTTATTGGGAAAACTCCTGGGGAAATCGAAAAATTACCTCCCTTATGCATCTTCCTTGTCAGATTTCCTTTTAGAAAAAGTGCTATCATTTATATTGAAAAGAAATTGCTGGTAGAAAAGTTTGCAAAACAAATCGAGGGGTATTTTGTGATTAAAATATTCCGCGCGAGTGATGGCTTAGGTCTAAGTAAACCCAAAATGCATTTATTGTTTCCTTGTTTAGGTAAAAAGGAAAAAAAATTGCAAATAATTTTTTTTTTAAAACACTGGTTTCAACTCAGTACCTCTAGGATGATTATGGATATAAATAGCCAATAGTTCAAGACAAATCTACTTGCAGGTGTACAATATAGAGTTATTTAACATAATATATAATATCCGCATAATATCAGAACTTCAAGAAGCTATTATTTCGAATCTTAGTCCGCTCAACTCTAACTTCACCATCATTCTTAAATCGACAATATTAAAATATTAAAAAAAATAAAAATAAAAAAATATTAAGTAAACAATTTTCTTTTACTACAAAGTAAGACTCTTAATAAACGTCCTGTTGAATTTTCAAGCATTTTTGTTAACAAATTTACCACAGAATACCTACCGAATAAAAATGTATGTACAAAACTCGTAAAATTAAAATGTCTATAAATAGCTCAAAAATGACTTAAATTTTATGAAAATTTTACCACATCTAGAAAAGACAACTATAAGTTTTCTATCCAAATTAAAAGTTTCTACGAATATTTTAAACTGAATTACAAGAAATAACAAATTTAAAAATAATAGAAGCATTATTTTCGTACATTTCCAGTTTTTCTCACGTTTTTTCCTGGTTTTTCCCAGATATTATGAAAACCACTTGGAAAACCAAAAAATGGCCTCCCAAAAATACTATCTGGACAAAATTCTTTTTCAGTAATGATACCGCGCGTATATATCTGAGCAAGATTTCTGGTAGAATTTTTGTAAACAAGATTAAAAATAAAAAATTAACATCTTAGTAAAACCAATACATTCTCCGCTATCTAAAATCTAAAATTGCTATTGAAATAGTCAATTTTATCGAATCTGTGCGAATTACGGGGAAAAAAGACAAAATATGAAGTGTGATCATTGATGTGTGATAATATTGTCATGTTAATATTTAAATTGGTTGCTCACAACGGTAGCTTATCTCGCATTGTATACTGTATTATCAAAAATATAAATAAAAACCTCTCCTCACGTACGGTGCAAATAGTATATTATTTTATCTTGCATTTTAGATTCCGAGTGTAGCAAGAGAGTTATTGGTTTTACAATGATGTTTATTTTTTTTCTTTGTTCTTTGTTCTAGTCGTTTTTTTCGAGTAAACTTACTCCAATGTACAGGTGAAGCACTTCTTCTGAAAACTTAAGTTGTCTTGATTGTACTTTAAAGAAGTTATTTTTTGATTTTCGACGTGGTTTTTTAAATAAAAGCACTTAAGTGGAAATAAACATAGGAAAACGTACAATTTTACGATTTCATTATTTTTTAAAAACACAGACGACGTTTTCTACTAGAAAAAAATCATGTAATTAAAAAACTACAAGATACCTTTTTTGTTGGCTTTTTGATTTAATTTCTAACAGTATCATCGCCAAAAATTTTGAGCCACTTTTGAGCTTTTAAGGAATTTTAAATTTTGGGAGTTTTTGCTGTTATTCGGTTATAAATATACGTAGAAACTTGAAACACTTATATTAGACTTAACCAGACTTTTTTTTTTTAATATGCGTTTTGAAATAAAAAAAAATTACGGCACTCACTTCGAGCTGCGCTCAGAATCGTTATTCGTCAATCAATGGTTTATCGTTGCTTACAAATATAAATTAAATAACTTTATGTACTTTATGTTACTTATCCTACGTTCTCAACTTCTCACCTACAACAGTGGCCACTCCCATCCCCAATATCAACTCTTTTTTTAATTTGCTTTTTTTTTCTTTTATAAATTCCTTTTTTTATTTTTTTTAATACTTACTTTAATAAAATATACACAATAGGTGAGTAGTTTTCAAACATAATACCTATATCGTTTTCTATTGTCATCAGTAATTACCTATACAAATTAATTAACTATAATTGGTTGTCTTTATTGTATTTCATAAGCGAACCAAAGTCATATATTACGTAATGTGGTATTATACAACCATATAAAACAATTATTATATATTATATATGCATGCATTTATATTTTATACCTACATAGTAATAATAATTATTAAATAATGAATTGCATCTAAAAATATAATTCAACTTAGATTATAATATTATTATGTATGTATACTGTAAAAATGTAGGTATAATTAAAAAGTAACTAAATAAAATTGATCTAATAAAAATTATTATGAAGTGAATCGTTCGTTAAACCAGCTAATAATTGATATATATTATTATATATACATATATATATAGGTAGTAGATAAATTAATAATAATTTTTTGATTAAAACAAAATTAGATACAAATATATAGTACCTTCGTATAATAATTTAGTTTTAAAATATGTCAAAGAGAAGAGTATAGAATATTAATATTAAAATAAATGCAACACCTATATTAGATTGGCACTAGATAAGGTTTCAAATGAAATATTTTCATTCGTACACTTATTCAACACCTCGTCATAATAAGTGTTTCAACTTAGATGGTAGTATATGATGTAATATACGGTTATTTATTTTGAAATGTATTATAATAAATATAAAATTACCTCTGAATCAATTTTAATAACTTTTAGCTTTAAGTAGGTATGCCTTTGGGTATTCTTTCGTAGTGTCCCATTGAGCACTGTAGTGTTCCTAATATAATACACGTAGTGGCGTACACTTGAAATTGAAACGGGGTAACAAGTCAAATGGCTAGTATAATCCTATCCCCACCCCAAATCGTACCAAATCAGTATTATTATATGATATTTATTCGTTAATTATTAAATTATACAACTGATTTTCAACAATGATAACCTATAACTCTAGGTAGTTGTTATCCCAGAGCCCCCTAAAATAGTTTAATGCGCGCCACTGGATATACATAACCTATATATTGTAAAACCTATACGTGTCTTATTCTAAATATTACTGAATGATATAATAATAATAATAATAATCCATATCTATAAAGTCGCTATATCTATCTGTCTGTGTGCGTTTAGTTCTTCTAAACTACGTAACGGAATTTTTGATACGGTTTTCACTATCATTTAAAGAATTTCCTCAGAAATGTTTATTTAAACAATACATGGCGAATCTCCTTTAAAGAGTTTTCTCACATAGAGTAATTGGTATTATTGGCAAGACAATCTAATTATTATGACTGATTTATTGATTACCTTGGAATGAAATAAAAAAATGTTAATACAAACAAAACAAAAAAAGAGCTGATACTGGAGACGGGTGAAGCCATTGTTGTAATTAGGTAATTAGGAAGGTAGGATATATAAATCTATTTAATTTAAGCTTGTAACCAACGATAAATCATTACTAACGAAAAACGATTCGGAGTGAAGTTCAGTTATACTTAAAATTTTCCAAATTATTTTGAAAACCCTTTAGAAAATCGAAAAATGAACTCCTCAATGCATCAAATAGATAAAATTATCTTTCAGAAAAAGTGCTACACTTGACACTTAAGAGCAAGAGTTTTGGTAGAAAAGTTGGTCACAGACAGAAAAAAAAATACATCATAATAATACTAATAGATCCAATCTTTACGCTCCATGTCTAAAATAATTAAGTGTAGGGACTCTAATAATTGTTGCGAGGATACACATAACAAATAGTAGTTACTATAGAAACTAATTACTTAGCTTACTGTATTTCTTTTGGCATGGCAACGACGAGCTTATAGTTATAATAATAGTGACAATTTTGAGAACGAAATAAAAAAAGACAATCGTCGAACGATATTAACTTGCAATGAATTATCAAACTATAGTGATTTCGAAAAAGGCAGCTAATGTATACATTACGGGTAATGTTGTAAAATTAATTAATGTCGTTATATTTATACTTTTTTGTATACAAAAACCGATTTTGTGCCGACGTTGGATTTTCTCGGTGTTTTAATTTTCAAGTGAATTACATGTGAAATATTACAATTTAAGAATCGTCGAATCTGGATTAAAAATTAAAATATCAAGAAAAAACCTCCGTACAGACACAAAAAATATGCTTACCCTTAAGTTAGTTAATAGGCTAATATACTTCAATATTAAAACGAACAGCACAAAATAGATAATTATAAGTAAGTAATTATAGATAAGTATAATTATAACGACATTAACCAATTTTACAACATTAACCGTAACATATATAACCGTATGATTTTTAACATAACATCTTATATTTAAATGTTGATGTTTATCAAACTTATAATATTAAAATATTTATAGTAACTTTGTAAATTGTGTATAAGTGCATACCAATAGTTTACTACTGCAACTGCCGTGTACTTTTAATGTAGTTATTCACTCTTTTCCAATCAACTGACAAACACAATTAATTAATTCGAACCAACTATCGCTTCGTTAACAGCTATATAACGTAGGTATTACAAATTACTACCTATTACACGGTTCCACAGTTACACAATGCACAGTTATGAAATAATATTAAAATCATTTATCAGGGTTAATTTAATCCACATCCCACAGGGATACCTACCAATATTATATCACTGTGCAAAATTTTGTGTTACCCACCCTTTATATTGCATAATGTTATATAGGTAATAGGTACTTATATAATATATAAATAAATATTTAGATACATTTCTATATTATGCCATAGTGTTACCTAATTGTTAATTTACCATATTATAAAATGTAATAAAAAAAAAATAATAATAATGTATACTATTTTTACCTATTCTTATTACATTACTTAAAATTATACATTTTTATTTATAATTCGTTTTACATTTACTAATCAATATTTCAGTATAACAATATTTAATTCATTTTCGAATAATGTTTACAGAAAAATCTGAAAGCCGAAGGTTAAACTAGATTATAGGTTACAGTATAAAATGTTATGCAAATCAATAGTCTTACGTTTATTTAAAAACCAACATGGTCTACAGTAACCGGTGAGAATGTTACGAAGTAACCAATAGGATTCCAACAAATTTGTCAATAGGCATAATAACCATTAAGGCTCGGGACTTAATGGCTCGGGACTTATTGCACTTAAAATTTACAAAAAAAGTGCTTAAAAACGACAAAAAGCTCTGAAAAAAGCACTCGAAAAATATTTTAAAAAATCAACAACAGTTGAAGGATTAAATGTCGTTCCTTTAACGGGTCTCAAAATAAAATTTTGTTAAAGTTATTTAAGATTAAAAACGTAGCAAGAAATTTATTAATTTTGACAGAAAACGTATATTACTTCTTCTAGACGTGGTAATACTTTCAAAATATTTGAGCCATTTTTGAACTATTTATAGACATTTTTACGGATTTTTTACGTCATTTTTATTTAATAAGTAGTCTATGGATAAAATAATTAGACTAAACAGAAATGCTTGTATATTTAACAGGAGGTTCATTATAAGTGATGATTTTATTTTATAAGAATTTTAAAATTAAATTTTGACAAAAATCGTAAATATTACAACCTTTCATAACATTTTAACCGAACTTTGCTCCGAACCTTCCTAATCGATTTGCAACGATTTATCATTGATTAAAGGTATAAGTTATATAACTTTATTTTTTCCACTTTTCCAAATACCCATCTACAATATTTATTAATCCTCTCAACTATTGCAATTCAATATTGTACCCACCAATTCATTGATTTTTTACATCGGTCTAACTCTTCCCGTTTCTGTGGCTTCAAGTCTTCTCACATTAAAATGTATCTGCGCAACAAGACTGGTTAGAAACGATGGGGAGAAACGATTATATGGATTGATGCTATTAAACATATATAGGGCTTATAGAAGCATGTGGGTGACTTATGAAGAGGTCATTTGTGTAATGGCCAAAGTACCAAGACGTATGAATATTATATTGAAGTATAATAATTAGTTAACATATACAGAATATAAGAGGACTATATTACACCTTGTATATTGTATATAAAGTACTAAATTAAGATATTTATGACAATTTTAAATTTTTTCAAACTCTCCCCCCTGAAACTTTTGCCTACATTCGCCCCTGGATGTAGTTATTATTTTTTTTTTTTTTTTGTCTGTTATTAATTTTTCTACCAGAAATCTTGCTAAGTAAATCCAAGTTATTTTAATATTTTCTAGAATAATGGATGTTCTTAGTTATTCTGATCAAACTGTATCTAATATTTTTTCAAATTTTAATAGAAATATCTATAAAATCAAAATTTCATACTTACAAAATATTTACTCGATCTAAAAAAATACTCACTAAAAGAACAATATTAACTCAATTTTGTCTAAATATACTACAGATATCTGATATTTTAGCTTGTAGATACCAGTCAATTGCAGGACAGAATATGTTGTAGAGAATAATGGCTATAGATAAAAATATACGATTGGCGAGTTAACTTAATTCTTTTTTACACTACATTGCTCTTCTGAACTTATTATCAATACAGCTGATGAAGTTTACTTCTATGTATTCATTCGATATTTGAAAATAATTTTTTTACGACATTTCTAGAACGACTTTTAACTATTTAATTGAAAACAAACTTTTTACCTTTATTTTTATGAAATGCAAAACACAATGAATAAAATACTGCACATGCACATAATTGCTTTAATATGTGTCCATGAAATCGAGTAGGTATACTGCATTAAATTTAAAATTAATTACCAACACGGTGTCTGTTAGTAAGCAAACTTTATTAAATTATAAACAAGCCCATTATCAGGTTTGGTGCATCGTTATTATCGATTACGTAACATTAAAAAATAAAAACCTATATATAATAGATTAATATATAATATGCATAATATATCTAATTAATCGTAGAAATATGTATATAAAATATTTATTGACAATATATTAATGCATATAGATTATACAGATATTATTTAGAAATACTATTTATAAATTTAATTAATTGTTCTGGCAACTTACATAACATATAGGTAATAAAGAATAATTGTGCAATATTTTATTTTTATTAGATTAAAAATTCGACATTTTTTTTTTATTAGTTATTCAGTTTTCATAAAATTAAAATAATAATGTAATAAATGTATTTAAGTGTAACCTTGTAGGGGTATTCTTACAAAACTAGAATTTATACTTAATCATAAAATATCTATCCTTTTTAATGGATAGGTAGCTACATTTCGAATGAATTAGTTTAAAAAAAATAAACTTTTGATGTCAATACTACAATTTACTAACACAGATCATTTATTTAACGTATAATTTCCCAAACGAAGAATATTTATTTTCATGTCAAATCATAATGCTATTAAATATATTTTCTATTAAAAGATTTTCTATTAATTTAATTATAAATGCATAATTCAATATATTACAATATTTTTACTAAAATCATAATCTTAGGAAACTAATAGTATAAGTACCTATATTAGTTATATAATTTCTCTTATAATTATAAATATGTGCAGTAAATCTTGAACATCAATAAAATATCTAAGTGGGTGTGTATATCTATAAGTTGATCAATTATTATGTCAGATTAAAAGGTTTGAAAATTTCAAAGTCTTATAATCCAAAATAAATTATTCGAAATCACTAAATTACGAGTAATTAAATCAACGATTGTTTTTGTAAATTTTAAATAATATTTTTTATAGCATATTAATATGTACATACCAGTATTATTTCGCTGAATGAAATTTTAAAAACTTAACATTTTTTTTTCACATTTTAACCATTTCTAGAAGAAGAAAAAGATAAAAAGTTACATTTATCAAAGAAAATTTAATTAGATAAAATATTTATAAAAATTATTACTGAACAATTTTTTTTCATATGTGGTTGTTAATAAATAAAATAAATCTGTACTCTATGCATAGAACTAGAATAAGAATGTAAAGTAAAATACAGAGAACCGCATAGCTTTATAATTCGCTATTGATTGGTAAACTAAACTACACGAAACGACAAGTATAGTATAGGAATATTATATTATAAAAGTAGGAGTCAGTATGGATGTAAATTAAAAATATTAAAATTTATGGGAGTGAATAACGATGGAAAAATATCCCCTACCATATTTTCAAACATGACTAAATAACTTAATTAAATAATTAACACATACGATAATATTAAAAGCAATACAATATAAGATATAATGTAATATTATCTATAGCGAGTCTATTATAATGAGAGAGTGGACAACTGCTCTTAGCAGTGTTTCATGGGATGCACCATTTTGCACCTGGATACACAGTTGTATTATTACCTTGGTTTCTATTTGTCAAGTATTTCTTCAGAGTCCACTTCCGTACGTCTCGAAACCGTGGGACTGAAAAAAGTTTTGTAGTGTAGACACGTTCACGTCCGTGCACTGTCTCGTCACCAACTGACTCCACGAATATGTTGTATTATACAGAGTGATTCATTCCTCAGCCAATTCTCGGAGGATTAAAAATTAATTTGATTTCTGTTTTTTTTTCGCACTATAAAATCGTTTAAGCTTTATTTTAACATGATCTTAAATTACCTTAAGTGCATATATAGGTACACTTCAAATAGGAACTCTCAATTTAAAAACAAAAATGCAAATATGAAAATGTTTTTTTATCACTGATATGCCAATATCAGTTTTTGTTGTATTATTGATGAGTAAAATAAGTGGACAATAAAATAACTATGGGTTTATACGAAGTTTATTTATTACCCTTTTTTACTCCTGCGATGAAAATTATAAACTGGTATAATAGTTTAGACCAAATTATTTAAGTTATACTTATAACTCCTAAACAGTACCGATGTTAGTGTTACTAATCCGCACATAAAAATGTTTAGAAAAATAGTCTCTATTCGAATCTCTATTTAAAACGGGGGTGTCCTATTTAAAGTGTACATACTTATTTAAGGCAAGTTGAAATATTGCTAAAATAAAGTTTAAACGATTTCATTATGTTAAAAAAAAAAAAAAAAAAAATCAAATTCACATAAAATCCTCACAAAATATCATTATTTTATGAAAAATATATAATACAATATATTCGTGGTGAAAGGTAGCGAAACGGTAACCAAACGATACGGCAGGTATCAGTCGTTAGTCAATCACGTCGGCTAAGCCCTCTAGCTGCCTCCCCCTTTTTTTTGCCTATAATAATATATCAGAATTATCGTACGAAATGTTATCCGAAATGTGTTTTAGTAGATACCGAATTGTGTACTGTTTGGTGTACTCAGTATATTTTATTTAATATTAGAACATTAAACTGTGTAACTACTCGTATCTGTACAATTTTCATTCACTGGTCGTGTAGGTACACATTAACGTCAGTATACGTATATGCGACACACAAATTTGAGACACACAGACGTCGACCCGGGTAAAAAATTTAACAAATTGAAACCGAACTATATTACTAAATATATATCTATAGTCTATAGCAATTTTGAGAAGAACGCGTTTATTTTCAAATATAGGAACGAGGAACGGTAAAGAGTTTTTCTGTATGAAAAACGTAAACGCAAACTTCTGTTCCTCCTATTATGAAAAAAAAATAATAATAATGAAACTCACGTTAAACTTTAATAATAACACTGTCTAAAAATTATTTAACGTTGGTATTCATCAATATTAATAAATAACCACAATATATTGTGAATCGTTGCATCGTAATTTTAAAAAAAAATCGTATTTTTCATCTTTTTTGGTTTTTCTCAATTATTGTGAAAAATACTTTAGATATTTAAAAACGACTTTCTTCATCAATGGTTATATATCAAAAGGAACAAAATCGTTTTTTTGTCAATTTTTGATTAGAACAATATTTCTGGTAGAAAACATTGTATATACAAATTTAAAATAATGAAATCGGTAACGCCGCGGCATGCTGTAAATGCTTACCATTTATCTTAGAATTTTCTTTCGGATTTTTCTTAATTATTTTAAAAACCCCTAAGTAAATTAAAAAGTGATCTGTTTTATGCTCCAACTAGAGAAAATTTCCTTTCAGAAAAGATGCTACACTTAATACTTCAGAACAAGATTTCTAATAGAAAAGTTCATAGACAAAAAAAAACCACCAATAGATCCCTCGCCACGCTCTAAATCCAAAAGAAAGGTAAATTTCTTTTTTAAGGACGAAGAACGAGAACAAGTTCCTTTTTTGTAGTAGAAATTAAGAACGGGAACGAATTCCTGTTTAAATGAACTTTCCCAATATTAAACTATAGCCAATAGGAGTGGCGATTAAGTTAACTAATAGAACTAGTAGTTACTTACCCGTTTTGGTATGCATTTACTTGGTAGAGCGTTAGAAAAGTCGAAAATTTGCGTCACCCATCACAGTTAACCAATAATAAATCGTCTTCTGGTTGACCGTTCTCTTATGATATATATATGTTCTCTAATATTATAACTAAATATAGTATAATATTAATGAAATTAATATTTAGGTGTATCCTAAATAAAAAAATTATTATTATTTTAATCCTAAAGTCAGCATGGTATCAGCATGACTTATATTTTTAGTAGAATGAAATATTGACAACAATTGTGATAATAATTCAATGGCATAAAAAAATATGAACATTTATATATTTGACCATTTACTGCGAATAGGGTCACATTAATGTACAGGCTTTATAACACAATAGTATTATGATGAAGTAATAGAGTCAGCAGTTTTTAGATAAATTCAATCAATGTGTTATAAAATATTTAACTTAAGTATATATTATATTCCTATACGCTCTTAAAAATTAAATACAATATTATGAGCAATTTGCATTACTATATAAAGATTAATCATTATTATCATTGTGTAAGTACATACTCTTAACTATAAGTAATGCACATTATGCATCGAAAACCAGTTGACGATAAACTAAAAGGAGTGTAAGTATGTAAGTAATAATAATTTTAAACTATATACTGTTTCATGATTTCATCACCGTCGAAAGCAATATTGTTATATAATTGAATTTGTTTGAAAATAGACTGAGATTATTTTAAAAGTATAAGTAAGTACCAATACTACCTATATAATATTATAATATTCATTTTAAAATAACGTATAGTTTACACCTATAATAATAATACAAATATATTTGGTATTATTACAAAAATAATTATAATTTGATAAAATGAAAAAAAAATTGGAAGAAATTATCCATTATTATTATTTTGGAAGTTAGTACTCGATCTACGCGAACGTAAACAAAAAAAATAGCATTCCAATTGTAATAATTGTAATTTTTCTTTAATATATATTTTTTTTTTTTTTTAAATTACCCTTCATGAAGCCTATACAATTTAGATTAAATCGCTTATTACTATAACTATACATTATATATTTGCATGCAAGCTGTGTCGAATGGTTTTATTGCCTCGAATAATATATAATATTTAAATCAAAAATATAACTAAAAACCGAACAATATTATTCAATTATATAGTCATGAAAGTCATACTGTAATACTATATAGTTACGTGTTACAAGTTAATTTACTAAACATTTAAAACAATAAATTGAAACAGTTCAACTAGGCCTACTTTGAATTATTATCAAACTTAAAGAATAACAATATTTTATCGATAGGTATGTCTTTTTTAAAAAAAAATATATTGTAGAAAAAAAAATTAAAATGGTTTTAGACTATATAAAACTATATGTTTTATTAATTATAATATGACGTAGGTACCTATAGTATTTGGATTTATAAATAATAATATATCTACCAAAGTACAAACAGCTATTATTTTAGTATACACCTGAACACATTTATAATAGGTACAGTTATGTGAACACAGATTTACTTTTATTCAGATTTAGTAAATTATAACAGATACCTATATTAATTGCATTGCATTATCTATTATCTATTGAGCCAGCTTGTTCGTGTTGTTTCTTTATGCATATAGTTTCGTATTGCATAATATATAAACAAGATTAAGTTTTGTTAATTATGTACTTAACAACTGTATAGTATTAATATAATGTAAGTATTGAAAACCATGGACTTAAATAAGCCATTTTAATCTATATATTATACCTATACATAATAAAAGCAAAACAATAACAAGTCAAAATAGAAAAAAATAATAAAACGAAGTTAGACATTATACCTCTACTTACGTAATAATATATAATAGACTATAATATTACCCACTCCGTCCCCGTTGAAAACGCGAATTATGAAAATATGATACATTTATATACATTTTTATTATTAATTTTTAAATATTTATTTTAAAATGTCTGTGCGTTCAAATATAATAACCTAAGTAGGATGATTTGGGTGCTTCTGAGCCAGGAGCAGGAGCAGGAGCTATACCTAATACATGACCACCCGAATTGTCAACCACGCATAGCCCCTCCACCGCCACCCCATACCTATCAAAGCCCCCGTTATCAATCTTATCACGGTTTGATATTACAGTTATACTTATTTTTATCATTATCACGGTTATACCTACCGTTTAACCAATGTTATATTATCTCTTATCTTCCCCGACTGTGTTACATAATATACATCTTCCGTTGCCACACACACATACAAACAATTTCCACTAGATGAGTACTATAACCCAGCGAGTCCATTTCCGAGAATCTAGAACGAAAGAAATCGTACTTTATGGGGATTTCAAGGCGATTTTGGAAAAGACGAACGAGAAAAAAGGAGTATACGACAATAATTCAAAACTATATACCAATGTCTTTCGGTATTTTCGTAAAGGC